AACATTTATAATTAAAAACATTCATGTTTAGGAAAACAAACATGGATTTAAAAAATGAATTAAAAACTCTCGGGAACATGCAGAAAATACCCCGTATACACTTGTAAACTTTGACTTCAGGTATGGCGTTGGAATGGGTATAGCGATGATGATGCAACAGGCAGCAGCTCTGGCCAAGGTTCCGCCAGGTATGGACATTTTGACTTTGGAAGCAGAAATACGAAAAGCCAAAGCAGAAGGGCGTACTGTTACTATTGCAAATGGCTGCATTTATTTCGATTATCAGTTGATCGGTTGCATTCCTCCTGACACCACTTTTCACGCATGATCGCAGATATTGCGAATATACTGGGGTTTTCAAAACAAAAAAAAAAAAGGAAAGAGAATTTGTATTTATAATGAATTTAAAACCGCCAAGCTGGAAGAATTCATTTTAAAGGAAAGTTGGCTTTAGTGCTAAAATTATGCTTCTGATTGCAGCCTGAAATCCACAAATTCTAATGACAATAAATCTATAAGTGATTTGTACAATCAGTAAATAATTAAACTATTACTGCTGGCATTGTATTAGTTTAGTGCATTCAATTTAATTACGACTGTTTACATTCATTGAAATGTTATCAAAATAAGCAATCCCTTATTTGTATGTTATGTTAATTGCAATAATTACTAATATTTTTAAGATTTTGAATATAACAAATTTTTTTTTGAAAAATTTGTTGGAAAAACTAGAGAAGGCTAACATAGCTCTACCTGAACAGCCAATTGATTTGGATATTATTGAAAATTTATTTTTGAAAAATAAATTTAGCATTTACTTCGATTTTCCAATCAGATAAAGTGGGAAAGATGAATATAATAATACTGGACAGTATGAACAAGACAACATTTGTTTGGTTGTTTTGATCAGACAATATGTATGAATGTGTTAGTGGTATTTGTATTTGAAATCCAATCAAGTCAGTGAAATCGTCATAGCAACCAGGCTGATTTAAAATAAGGGAACGAGAAGCTCACAATCGTGCAGTCAGTTTTAAATCAGCCACAACCAACTCCCCATCCTTCAACAACACATTTATAGGTTAATTAATTGCATAACAGTAGAATGATTATTGTAAAATGGTTTGTGCTTTATGCTCATTTTGATTTCTTCGATTTGTTCATTTCCATTTCCATTAAATGAATGGCGAGGAAGAAAGTTGTCAAGAAATAACAGAAATATTGGGAAGATTGTGGGAGGACAGAGAGAAGGCGACCAATCCATTTCGGTTTGAAGTTCTTCTTCATATCCTAAGTTCGTGAATTAGTATGCCTTATCCATCCTACTGTACTCCTGCTGTCGTTATTGATCTACTGCTTTTTTGTGCAATAATGTTAACACACCTGACGATACTGTAAATTACATCCTTTTATTTCCAAAGATTATTTCCTACTTTTATTATAAATATTTCTTATCAATCAGGAGAAAATATATTTGATGCATACTTCCGAGTAATATACCTAAAAAGCTGTAAAAGGCAAAAAATGAACACTGTGAAAAGTGTCGCAAAACTATTGCTGCATTTTGAATATTGGTGTCACACTATATTGTTGTCATGGCGATGGAAAATTTCAAAATAGGGATGATGACATTTTTTTCAAATTTCTCTCTTTGAATGATGAAATTACTAGTAGTGCGCGAGAAATGTTTTCTGCAGGGATTAAATGAATTTACTTGATTAGATAGAAAAAATGAAAGCTAATGAGACCTTGGAGATCTTAAATTTTACAAAAACACAGCATGAAATATAGCTGGGGACATCTTAAGGATGATTTTTGAATTGATGTGATGTTAGAAATGCAATTCGCTTTCGATTTATAAGAAAAGATGAAAGATTTAGCTCCGACTTAATGATTTTTTTTTTTGCTTGTATGTGCCTAAGCTCGAAACTGAAATACTCTGTTTTTGTTCTGGACAAGGTAGTTAATTAAGCATCGGTCTAAATAAATTGGGAACTTTACCTTTTCTTCTTACGTAGCCAACCTAAAAAGGATGAAGATATGCGTCATTCAGAGAAAATTTAAGATGGCGAAATCATCGGAGACACAATTCTCAGTCCTCCATCCGGAAATTGAGATACGGCCATTAACGCAAAATTCAGATGATGATAAGAGGAAGTTAAGGTCAAAGGTTGGATACAAAGATAAAAAAGTGATTTGTGTTTTAGACAGACTTCTTTGACTATATGAATAAAAAAAAGTGACGTCCTACTATCTTTACAGTAGCAAAACTATTCGTTAATGTTGCCCATTGTAGATCTTCGAAACTTTTGAATAGAATGAAACGTAAGCAGCATACAAGATTTATTTTAAAAATAAACATATGACTACTTTAAATTTCCAATTAATTAAGTGAATGGTAATATTTATGAAAAAAGTGAAGGGAATAAGATTAACACTTTATACAATTCTAATGCTTATTAAATAGAAGAAAATTTTTTTCAGCAGAATCCTAAATTTAGCCGTAAGTGACGACTGATGGGTGCTGAAGCTAAACGTTATCTTCAGGAACACGCTATACCGCAACTCTTTGAGGTTCTTTCCTCATTTTCAGCTTTATATAAATTTGTTAAATTTATAAACTTTACTAATTTGCAAGGCAATTATAAAACAAAATTGTTTAATACTGGATCATTAATTGATGATTTTCTGATAATTTGATATCATTAAAAAAAAGTTGAAAGACACATTATATTGATAAAGTCAGTAATAATTTTAAGCAGTGAAGTCATTGCTTTTCTACAGTAACTTTTAGGTATTAATGATCGGTTTTGAGCGCAATACTTTGATTCTTACTTAGGACTTAAAAGAAGTGAGGTAAATCTGAGTAAGTCAACTGAATGGCCAGTTGTCAGGTAATAAGCGAAGGTAAAACGAGAACAAGAAATGAGATATGATTATTTTCAACAATTTATATTATTCATACATCCGGTGGCTATGTGTTGACTTTTGAAACTCAATGCATAGGTAATGAAGTTGAAGAAGCAAAAAATGAATGAAAGCAACTTACCTTTCTGATTAATCATCTGATTCAGGTCAGTATTTCTTACTTCTTATAGTCTTTTTTTCTCATTGATATCAATTTTTACTATCAGTGTTAACAAATAGGAAGGTATAATGTCCAAGAAGGCCGGTTACTGTTGTCAGGGAGATCGGGATTCTCATAGGAAGGTTTATGAGAATGGAAATTGTGAAAGATATTTACCACTATACACGGCCGTTCTGTTAGTGAGCAATTTTTCTGCTTTCTTCAGGCTTTCACTTATTTGGCCGGTTTTTTCTTATCAATCCCAAACCTTGCAATTCCAAAAACTCTCTGATGGATTTCTTACAGATGATTGTTTCCTTTTTCAAAGTACTGCTTCAGTACCATTGTCATCCAATTCCATTAAATTGCTGTGTATGGCAATGTTAAACAACAATTTTCGACTAAAATTTAAGTTGAAATGATTGATGTAAACCAGGAAATCTTTAAGAATGTATCATGTCCCCATTCATTCTTTCATTGCATATAATTGTAATTGGCCCAGTTAAGATAACTAACTACTCTTGCTACATTCCGTTTTTGTTCACATTTTGTTTTCTTATTTCTCTAAATCTATCATCTCGATTTCCTTATATTCACAATTGTCCGCGGTATTAATCTTTTTCTGAAATATTGCTGGTTGACATATTCAGTTACTTTCTGGGTTTTGTAAAACTTTTCGAAGCCGCTACCATTTTTCACGAACGCTGAGTGATTACGATATATTAGTCTGATATGTGCGTAAATTGTAAACAAAAAGTTTATTCACCAAGGCTAAATTCAGACGGAACTACTATTTATTACTCATGAGTTTTGATATAAAAATTGTTTCATGATCTGCCTTTCCCTGATGATTTGTACAATCATCTTTGGGCATCTAGTTGATCCAGATGCAAAGTGCTTGTAGATAGAATAGATCTATCATATTTAAATTAGGCATAAAGGTCGTATCTCAACTTGAACGTTGATTTGAGTAAGAACAATTTTACATGTATATTTCAGTGATTTGTCAAAGTTGAATAGAATAGAAGAGTTTTTTCTTGTCAAAGTTTCGTGCCTTCTTACATGAATTTTTTTCTTTCTAATCAAAATCTTTTGAAACTAAATCAGTCATTTCGAGAAATTATTTACCACTAAGAAGCGATCGTTGCAAAGAGAGTTGGAAAAACCAGATCTATATGAGTCTATCTAGCGATCTATAAGGCTATCTAGCGATCTATATAAGGCTATCTAACAATCTATGTAAGGCTATATAGCGATCTATTAAGGATATCTAACGATCTATGTAAGTCTATCTAGCGATCTATGTATCGAGAAGTAATAGCATGCTGTTGGACAAAATACGAATAGTGTCGTTATACAAAGAAATTGGAAAAATGTGCTAAATATTTTGGAAGAGTTATAAACTGAAAATCATCATTATCCCCTCGAAGTCATAAAAATATCCTCGAGATCTCTGCAGATTTAAAGAATGAATATGGTTTTGTGATTACAGCTGTCTCTAGCAAAAAAATTTCTTAACAAAACCTTTAAATTCAATTTTTTGGATCAGCTTATTTACCCAGAATTTTCTAAGGATAACGTTGCAGTCAGTTAGAGTGTATGTCTAGTAATCCAAAATTGCAAGTTCAAGACCTATCTCCAGCATCGACATAATTTCTTACTAAAGTACAACTTTTGAATTTTATTTTTCAGACACAGGTTTGTTTACCTCATCTTTATAAATGTTTTAGAATTAGATGACTGAATTCTGAGGAGATTCCTTCGGACTTTAATTGTAGAAGTAGCGGTAATATTCCCATGAGCTGTGTACTGTCCTTATTATCCTGCTCTTTCAACCTTGATCTCTGTTCACAAACTCCAACTTTGAAAACTCAAAAATTATTGAATATTAACTTTAATGATTAGCATATTGCTCAGATTCCTTTGTATTTTAACCAGATACTTTCTAAAACTAGTAGTGAAATTTCTCAGAAATTTACCAAAATGAAACTTCACAAAGTATGATAATGGGATTGCAGAGTCTAATAACAGGATTGATTTGTAACAAACCAGAAGATCCGATTGCATTCCTGGAAAGTTCCCTCAATAAAGTACGTCAAAATCCGAATTTCGAATACAAATGGGATTCATTTGTTGACAAAAAAGTGCTTCAAGAGTATGAAGAACCGCCCGTCAAACCTGGTCAGTTGATATATGCCGAATTAAAAATGTGAAAATCTTGAGTAACATTTTTGCTCTCTAATGTTTCGTTAGAAGAGAATGAGTCAAAAGAAAAGCAAGTAATCTGGTCATCCAATCTTAGTAAACCATGAATTCAACCAGAAACCTAAGCTGGTTGTATCCAGCGTTAGAAAATCTAAAATACATTTTGCAAATTCGTAGCCGAGAGCAAGTGCGTTAAAGCAAAATTGTAAAACACAGGTTATTTTTTGTCACTAATGAAAATTCGAAGGTGTGACAAATATAACAAACTTTAGAAAAAGAGTTATGAGTATCAATTTGAATATATCAAATTGCTCCTCCGCTTTTTTGCATGTCATTTATGCATGACTCAACAAGCAAAGCAACTTTGTAAGAATTTTTCATTTCCCGAAGTGCATATGATTACCTCAACCACTGCCATTCTCTTCTCCTTTTCAATTCCATCATCTTTGTTTTTTTACTCTTCTCTATTTATCCTATCTCTATTTTCATTTTTTTTTATTCTATCTCATTTTTATTTATTTCGACCACCTTCACAAGGAATGATCGTAATTAATTAATTAAAATTAATAAATTATATCCGATGTCACGCGCAAGCTGCTATCACTCGTAATGTATGTCAACCTATATGTTTCTCATATTTTTCATTTTTCATTTCTTACCGTTTAAACTTCGAACGAAAAATCTTCGATAAATTTCTTCAAACTCTTCCAGAAATGGATTATCAAGAATAAGAATCATCCAGTCCATCTGACCACCTATTTGAAATCTCTTCTTGTTTTTAAAGCTGTAAAAATTGTTACATTTGATAAATAAAAGTCCATCTAAAATCCAATAACTGCTAAGCTTTATTGATAATAATTAATTAGATTTGGCATAAAAAGTAGTTGCTATATATTATTAATATTTTCCGAAACTCGACCATGAGGGTAACTGTCTTCTTTTGAATACTTTTTAATTTAATTGAGAAAAGGTTTTTTACAGACCAAGTTGCTTGACCAATAAAACCATTTTATGGTGGAAATTTTTGAGACAAAATGATTTAAATTGCAAAAAATACCTTCAATTTAAATAATGAATTATGAAAATAATTCAAAATTTTAGGTGATTGCTTTTATTTTCGGTTTTTTTTTTTGCATAATTTAGTGATATTGTATTTAGAATTTCTGATCTTTATGTCTTTTTCAATTTTTCAATGAAACATATGTCTGTATTTAGAAAATGTACCTGTAATTCTCTGCAGGTATTTAAGAAAAGGCACATTTTCAGATATTACAGCCTAATATCACCAAGCTAGAGAGTTAAAATTAAAAATTTCAAATGAATTTGAAGATTTCAAGAGCATTTTTTAGGTTTGAAAGTTTCACAAACTGAAAAGCCAAAGAAAGGAGCAAAGTCAAGGACACCTGGTACTAAACAAACTAAAAGGTTCACTTTCTCAATTCTATTAGGAATAGAAAATGACAAGATGAAACAGAAATGCTTTTGAAAGATTTTGAATTCCGGGCTGTGTTTCTCCTCAAGCAACTCTTTGCTGCAATTTTCGTCAATAAAGGAACTGCAAATCTCTTGCATATTGCCGATGTCATTCCTATTCTTCTTGAACTCCTCTAATAGGTACTTCTGTGGTACCTTTCTACACAGATTTTTCTGCTTCTATTACTTTTTAAAATCTCTTTTGCAGAAGATTTCCGCCTACTATCACCATTTATCACTAATAATTATGAACTTTCATAACAAAAAATACAGCCTCTTCCTCCTCCTTTTCTTTCCAAATTGTGAAGAGAGAATTCAGATCACCCAAATCTCCTGCTAGGCTTTTTTTTTTTTTTTTACAATGTAGCGGTCTTTCTTGACTTCTACATTCGAATAGCAATCTACACTCTTTTTACTTTTTTGTTATTCTGTACCATTTTTCCTACAACATTTATTGCCATAGCAAATTATCTTAATGAATGAGAATTCCAATACAACTGTTTCTTTTTTTTCAGAATTTCCCATAATACTCTAATTAACTGCAGAGATATGCGCTATCATCTCAAGTTCATTGCTTCAGAGTTAGTCCTAATAGATCGATCGTTCCTTCTGCGGCTACTATCAGCAACAAACCTTCGCTTCAACCATCATCCGTTATGAAAACTACAGATGCAACATTAATACCGGACGTGCCGATCATTTTATTCATGGGTATGTTCAATGTTTTGTGAATAATCTCTTTGCTATTTCCAGTTATCAGAATAATTTAATATTAATTTTGTTAAATTTCAATCATATCGTATAGTTTCCACATCGAAGTAAAGTTGCACTATTGATTCTATCCAATGATAAGTGGAGGTAATATTTCCCGTTCAAAGATAGCTCTAGCAAATAGTATTGAAAGTTTCCAGTGTTGTAATTCAAATAAACAAAATTAGTTAACTATTATCAGATAAATGATTGGATGACCGTACCAAAAAGACTTATCCCCCAATGCAGTCACAAATAAAATGCAATGATTGCAGTGATATCTAAAAATCTTTATGCAATATTATTACACTGAAAAAATTCTTCTCTCTGCAGGAGGTCCAGGAGGTGGCAAAACACGACATGCAGCTCGAGTGCAGGAAGTTTTAAGTAAATTCGGTCTTGTGCATATTTGCATGCCCGATGTGATCCGAGCGGCGATCGCAGAATATCAGAACACTGATGTCGAATGGAAAGAAGCAGCACAGCGGTATCAGCGAGGTCCATTTTAGTCTTCTTAAAGCTTTTTAGCTACCTCACTTTAACAAATATTGTTCTATATGTACTGTGCATATTTGCATATCCATTATTCATTTCAGGATTCATCAAAATCTTGCGGTTCATTTGAAGTTGACCAGTGCTAAAGTTATATAAGCCTGACAATCAATTCTTTTATTTATCACCTTTGAAGAACAATAGTTGCAGAAATTTATTGAAAACAAATATTTTCACTTTAAAAGTTTGACTAGTAAAGTAAAAAGAATGAAGTTTTTTGTACAAATATTTTGATTATCTTTTAGGCGAATTGATACCCAATAATTTAGCGCTTGGACTTGTAAAAGCGGAAATGAGTAAGCATCGGAATGCAAAAGCTTTCTTTCTTGAAGGTTTTCCACGTGAAGCACGACAGGTTGAGAATTTCGAACGTGAGGTGAGAAAATTCTGCGAACAAAATCGAATTGTATAAATAAATGATCTTCTAATCAATTTCTCTCACTATCTGTAGAAATAATTAATTCAGGTAAGACCTGTAAATATGGCAATGATTCTGGATTACGATGAAGATACGCTACGACAACATATGGAAAGTCGTGGATTAAATATAGAAGTAATTGATGCCAAAATTCGTGAATTCAAGCTCAAAACTTTGCCAAGCGCCAAATATTTTGATGACCAACGATTGCTACATCTGGTCAGCTGATAACTTATACAACGAGTGGGAATACTTTGACTAAAATGCATTTAATTTCAACGAATTGTTTTATTCAAGAGTGCTTCCTGATTATTGTCCATTTTCTTGTCTCTTATATACTTTTCAATTTGTCCTCAGAAGGTTCTCTTTAACTTCTTTAATATTTAAATTATTTCTGGAATTTCAGATACCTGGAGAACAAACTGATCAATGGATTTTTGAACGTATGAAATTGTTAATTCAGCGAGCAATGGAACTTGGCGTTCCAGTCACAACTTCAAAAGTGGCTTCAAGAGCGGGATCACCATTACAACGACCTGATACGGTACCTAAAAATATTTGAATTTGCAGTGAAACAATGCAGTATTTTAGAAGCCTGAAACTTCAAAATAAAAAAAAAACTAATACGTTTTGCTTAAGAACACGGATTGGAAATTTTGGTAGGAATTCAATATTATTACATAAATATCTCACCCTCTATGATAACAGATAAGTGATGAGTTGAGAGTTATGGAAAGGAGTGAGCTAATATCTGTTCACTCGTCCTTTTACGTTAAATCAAAAACCTTTTGTCAAATATATTGTTCGAAAGGTCCAAATTTTTGAGTGAAGCGTTATGACGGATAAGTTGATGAAATATAGTGAATCATATTAACAGTTTAAATGGTTTGGCCTAATTTGCATTCAAGAGATATAAGGTTGGCCAAGTGGTGGTTGAATTTTGTGGCAAAAGTCACAAGAAAGAAGTAAAGGACAATAAATGTCTAGACTGAAATGGCAATTTAGTCAAATCTAGCGCTTTGATAATTTCAAAGCGCTTATTGGTTTAAGCTCATTGCGCCTAACTTCACACACATTGTTTTAACCAATTCTTTTTGTATTGTTAATGCTGTAAGCTTAATTCACGCATAATCTTCATGTGACGTTCAGTTTTTCCATTTCTGCAGTTTTCGAGCTATTTCAGTAATTGTGAAGTGAAGCTGTGTTCAAAATCAGAATGATATGGATATTCACGGCATTACACAAACATATTTCCTGACTTAAAAAACGTAAAAATTTTCAGGTTGCTACTGTGACACAAGCTGCAGCAATTGTAGAAGCTGCAGTAGCCACTGCACAAATTTCTGAAAATCAATTACGTCCGGCGACAAAAACAGAAGTAAGAGAGAATGAGCAGAAAGAAGATCTAAGACAGACCAGTGCTGCAGAAACGGAAGCTGAGCCTGCTACGTCAGCTTTAAATTCTCCGGTAACAGCGAGAGATATATTAAATACAACAACGTCAGCATCTGAGAAACCTACACCAGAAACACCAGCTGGTAAAATTTAGGGAAATTTCAAAATGTAATTTCATTGACAAAAAATTTGAAAAATCATGAATCACCAAGAACCATCTGAATAAAAGAACAGATTTTTAATCAAAAATTATAAACAGGAAAATCATAAGTAATTTCAAAAACTAGGACATATAAGGAAGGTTGATAAACTGCGCTTGACGCGTTCAATGGTTTTTTTAGGACCGCACTTGCAAACTCTTCAACACATTCTTTCTGTTCGGACTTAGACATGCTTCTAATGTAAGTAATAAAGAAAATATTGCTTTTAACATTTCTGACTGCACACCAGAGCTAATTTTATGGTAGTCAGTAGTTTCTGCAAGTTTTATCAATTTCAGAAAATGAAAAGCCGTTAACTGCCTCAAAACGTGAATCATCATCCAAGGGAAATGTGGTACTTCTAATTTCAATCTTCTCGTACATTTCTATAATTTCTCGTTTCATAACACTTTTATGAATTATTTTGAAGTAAATGTATCACGACTCCGTAATGACATATATAATGTATTTATTTTCACTAATTCTGCAATGTGACAATTAATGCTTTCAGATCTTTGATCCTCTTATAAAGATAAAATGTTTGGAATTGTTTTTGAGTTTTCGAATCGAAAATTTGCTAATCGCTTGTGAATTAATTAAAATTTAATCTGTTTTGCAGGTAAATAAGTCAAAACCCGATGAAATCAAAACTGTTCCCACGATAGGAGCAGCAACAGGTGCAGAAGCACGTGAAAGGCCACAGATATCAGAAACTACCGGTGGTAAACTTTTTCACATATTCATGACCTCAAAAACTGGGGAAAAATGATGAATAAATAACTTCGTACAGTTTATATCGAATTATTGTAAATTAACTGGAAAGGTTAATTTAGAAGCTGCAACACAATCGACACCAATTATGCCGAATGCTACAAATGATGCATCAAATGTGGAAGTGTCACCACAGACATCAAGTAAGGAATTCTTGTATCTTGTTTAATTATGAGTCTTAATTGATTAAAATAGACTGAATTTAAAATCACGTCGACATTGGATCATTTAGGCGTATTTACTATACCATTTCTTTCAAATATTCATATAATTTTCAAAAACTCTGAAATTATTTTAAAATATTTCTGTATTATTTAGCACTTACTTTATTCAACTTACCTTACTTTACTGCTTAACTTATTTTACTCAAAAAGTAGAAAAACATAATGAGTCTCCATTTATTACATGCCTTTCAACAAACTTACCGTTTCTGTAATTTTTTGGCACTGTTTGCAAGTTTAAGGCAGACCGAACACTAAAAAGACGCTGAACAAAATGAGCAGGACAATTTCGCAAACTTCAAAATCATCCGAAATGTCGCACCGATCTATATACAGCGCCAAAAGTAAAAATCAATCAGTGCATAGTAACAAAAGTGAAAGTAAGTTTTACTCCAAACAATTACAGAATTTTCCATTTTGCATTCCTTCTTAGGATTTTGTAGAAAAATTGTAATGCAAAAGTTCTTGAGTTCATTCTCAACAATGTTTCAGGCTTTTATTTGTATTCAGGCATACTTCACTGATAATGATCGGGAACACCTTTTATCTTATCTTCTCTCATCCTAAATTCTGTCTAGATGTTCTTGTCAAGAAACTAGCTACAACATTGTTGCTCAATAGTTTAAGTTAAATGAATTCTTACACTACACATTCGACATCTCGTCATATTAGCTAGGCTTCGCAACCGAAGATCCAGTCACTGCTCTTTTCAGTCTTCGCAAAAGATTTTTTAGGTGAGACATGACATGCGCGGAACTATTCCTTTACTTCTAAAGTTCATCTAACAGGGCCTAGTAAGCTAAGACGATGGTAGTGAGGTTCTTGGGACGTATATTTTGTTATGAGTTTCCTTCTCCTAGATGGATATTCTTAGGCATTAAACGAGGTTAAAGTCCTTCTCCTAGAATAGTTGACGGATGACTAGCGAACCCATCCTTTTCATGGACAGACTTTGTCTAATTCGTTATTTAAGAGCTGTTTAGAAGGAGAGGCTCTACCTGAAGGCAAATGCCTTAGTTCGCACCTCACAAAGACATGCAAGCTTCAAGCTTCTCCTCATTATCAACAGATGAGCTTAAAGTACCATGAAAATCCTTTAACTTTGAAAAAAGAAACAAATTAAAAAGTAAGCGATATTCTGGAATAAAAACCTGACCGTGTACAGTCTGAGGAGGTGCATCTGTATTGTATTTGAAGTATAACCTTGTATCATTTTATTTACGAATCCCAACAAAATTCAATCTTTTCAATCACAGTCATAAGCAGTCAAGAATGATAAGTGTTGTGAATAGAACAATTAACCAACGATAACAATAAAAATATCTGTAAAACAGAGGAATCAAATGGGAAGATAATGAAGCGCTATGAAATCTAAATTGGTTGTAAGGAATGAGAATGGTTTCAATACCTTGGCTTACTATGGAATATGACTACGATCTTTATCTTATCCTCTTGTAACAGAATAAGATTTTAAACATCAGGGATGATGTGGTTTCTGCTTCAGATTCTTGTCGACTTTAGAAGTTCAATATTTTGTTTCTGTATGCTCACAACTTTTCTTTCTCTTTTGTACTGCATAAAAATAAAAGACGCGTGAAAGGAAAGTTGAAATTGTTTCCAGCTTTTCCAATAAAATTGTTATTTTTGTTTTCCATTAATATTGAAATATTGACGTAATTGTTACTGAAATTACGTTTCAGACCAGTTGGCTGGTGGACCATCGTCCGATTCAAAATCAAATACATCCGTAGTGGATAACCGCTTTCCTCCAGGTCTACCCAATAACGCATTAGCTATTGTCATTGTTGGTGAGAGGAATTTCGGCATTTTATTTTAACACAGCATCTTACGAAACTAAATAAATAAACTATTTCCTGTTTTTATTTCCGAAATAATAAATTATTTTCTTTACCGGATGCCGATTTTAATATATATTAAACTTATTGGCACTGAAATAAACTTGAACACTTAAAATATAGCAATCATCCTTCATCAAATATTTACTATATTAGAGTGATTTTATGGCTTCATCAGATATAAAAAATTCAGTTTTATTAATCAAAGAAGTGTGCTTTTAACGAAGTCTATGCTTATGTACACATTCAGACTATGTCTGGCTACTAACAAATTCTGAGACTGAAGTATATATAGTTTTAAAAAATATATAATTATATTTGATTTCAATCTTGAATGCTTGAAATTTTTAATAGAGCCGGAAATTTTCGAATTGCACAATAATATCTCAAAATTAAATACAATTACTCTCTATCAATTGATTGATTGACCTCTATCAATTGTTATCTTCGCATAGTTCACCAAAAAACTAAATAAAATAGCAATTTGAATATGGTTCAGGTCCTCCAGGATCTAATAAAGCGGAAATTTCAAAGCGTATAGCCCGACGATATGATGGTTTCATGTATCTTAGTATGGGCGATTTGCTTAGGAAAGAGGTACGATCAAATGCGGATGATCAATTGTGGCAAAGAATCGGGAAGAAAATAGATGCCGGTGAACCGGTACCTACGGTAGCAATTTTATTCTCAGCGATAAGTTGACTTTCCTTCATTTTCAGTTGCATTAATTGTTGTCTTAGGAATTTTATTGAAGTTTGGTGTTTCAATGTATTTAGGAGAAACCTTTTTAATACCATTTATTTCAGAAAATCTGTCGTGAATTACTATACTCAAAAATTTACGAGGAAGATAATATTAGTAGTGGTTATGTTATTGAAGGTTATCCGCGGGCGAAGAATCAAGCTGTCGATTTTGAAAATCAGGTATTAGTGAGTTAGGAGATCTAAAGCATTTCAATGGAAATGACTAAAACAACTTCATTCCAGACTAATCGTCTTGCTTTGGTGGTCTTAATCGATTGCACTGAAGAATTTTGCACTAAAACTATCGAGAAACGCAAAAAGGATGAGGTGGTAGTCAGGCCAGGTAATTAAAAGGTGTAGGTGTATTAACGTTGAATGTCATGGAATGCTTAAATAGTTTAAAGTTCGCAGCAATATTATCGTCTCATCAAATACTCAGAAACTTCTAATTACTCCAAACTTTTTTTGTTTCAAACTATGCAGACGACAATTCGGAAGCAATAAATGCTCGTCTGCAGATGTTCAAGCAGAATACACTACCGATGCTAAAATATTTCGATGATAAAGGAAAGCTTAAAGTGGTATGTGTATGAGTACAGTTTACTCTATCCTAATACTAACTCGAGATGTTTTGAGAAGATGCATCTTAAGCTAAATTAGTTCGAAGGATTACCCTGTCAAGCTTATTATTAATATCCTAGTGACAAGTTGCTTGCTATTTTATGATCTGAAACAATTCTTTGGATAGGAAGCAAGAAAGAGTTCAAATCCCCGTCATCTTTAATTCTGCATTTAAGCATGTTTGTTTATGTTGCTCCTCTTTTATTTTGATTTTTTTGACGAAAGAACCAATTTTTTCCCAGGTTGATGGTGACAATAATCCAGAAAAGATTTTTGAGGAAGTTGTCGAAGAACTCGACGGGATTATTCTAGTCAAAAGTAATTTTACAAAATTTCAAGTTTTCGATGAGAATTTCAATCTGAGAAGAAAAATACTATCCAAAATGCAGAAATGACTTCACTTGTCGTGCACAGCCTGTGCGTACTAGAATAAAGTGTCATGATAGAATGACATGAAGTCAGGCAAGATATTACAACCATCGATTAAGGTTTTTTTCAGAAGAAGAATGTAAGGAAAACCAGTCATTATCGGAAACATCACAGAAAAGAAGTGCGGGACAGTAATGCTACGTTGTGTAAATGTGATTATCAGTGATAGTGATTGACTTTGATAATGATGTTCTTTCTTTCTGTAGATATTTTCAGTTATTTCAAAAGTTTTTATCATGAATCAAAGTAACATCATCGGAATAATGAGTTCAGTACCCAGTGAAATGCTCAAAATAGTATGAGATAGTAATTAAATTTAAGAAAAGCCTTTCTGTGGTATTAAACAGACAGATGAACAAGACAAACAAATAGACAAGCATATGAAGGATAAATAAAATAAACAGCAACAAAGGCTCACATCGAACATGGCCAAATAGGCAAGTGACATTATATTGGTTGTAAGGAACTGTAACAATTCTTTAACATTTTGTAAAAAAATGTTAGAAAATTTTAAAAACTTATTTAAATCGAAAAATTTGATGAGAAACACAAATGTGGAATGCTTGAAACAAATCCAATATTAAAATGTTCACTTAATACAGTAATGATCCTGACATTGTCCATTCCTCTACCAAAAATGTGAAGTAGCAAAAACGAGAAATCAGAAAGGTTAATTTCTGCACGATACATCCGAAACATGTAGTAAATTTTTAAATGTTATGCACGGTATATAGTAAAAAATATTTTCAGAATCGTACGTTCAAAGTTAAAGTTTAACAAAAAAAAAAAAAAAAGAAGAAAAATGGAATGTTCTGCAATATCATAAACGATCGAATTTCATTTGTCAATTGCAACTAAATACATGCACATCACTGATAAGGACAAGTGAATCCAAAAATTGAGTTGACAATCCACTAAACTATGCTGTGATATTTCTGGCCGTTTGTGAACTTTCAACTCAAGAAATAATACATTACTATTTTTCCCGCAAAATATATACTGTTTGAAACGAAAATAATATTGAAAGATCAACATGATGTCTTTATGTTTTTAAAAAAGAAGTAAACAATATTACAAAAGGTTTAAAAAGAGAAACGACACCTTCGCGACACATTTAATCTTTCAAATGTAATATTTCTACGACTATTTTCAGTTTCTGATTATTTGGAAATGGTTCTTTATTTATATATTTAAGGAATTTGATTAAAATTGCTATGATTCCTTGCAAACAAAATCCATTTATGAGCTTCCTAACCCATCAAGAAATAACGAGACAAGCAAAAATCAGCAAAATCAGCGTCTCATTGAAAAACATGAAACTGTCTAGCTGAGAAAATAGTAAATCAAACAGTCCAACTAGCATAAGCAATTCAATTGACAAATTTAAACTTCAGTAGGTGTATTCTGCCGCAGTTGAGATCCAGGACTACCATAAACATTCTCGGTGGGATGATTCTGAGACTGCGCAATTCGAGCGCGTACCATCGCTCGAATAGGTAGGGTTCCGTCAACCAGATCTTCCAGAGCAGGGGCACTTTCGTAGCCGGCACCATACAGTGGTGAGCGCGACATTTGACTTGGTATTGGTATATTGCCTTTTGAAGGGTAAAGAGACTGGAAGAAATTAACTTTCTTAGAGAGTGAAAATGCTTAAAACTTTTTCCCACATATTTTTTTTGTTCATGAAATCTTCCAAAACTGCAAAAAATTTTCGAAATACTAAAATTTTCTTGAAAAAACGAAATGCGAAATACATGATAAAATCATTACAAATGTACTCATATGGAATCGGAAAAGATGGATTTAAATAAAATTGAAACCTTAATATTTTTCCCAAAATTTCCATAATACTTTTTATTGATCTTGCCATTGGTCAGCAACGCCTTTTCATCTGAAGATACACTCGACGTTTGCTTGCTGTCATTCTCTATGGATATGTTTTGCTGCAGAAAAAATTGTTGAAATTTATAGCACTTTAGTTGAAATTTAATTTTCAATTGAACAACTCCGATTTCAACAGAATTTCAGCAATAATTCAAACAAAATTTGTTCCAAAATAACAAGCTGCATAGTACGAAGGGAAAGTCTTTGATAAATCAATCTGACCTGTTTTGAATAAATTCGAATCAGCTCGTTAACAAGATCTCGAGATATTCTGGCATCGACGTGTTCACTGACAAATTTTAGCAGAAGTACCCCATCAGGTCGAAGGAAATCCTCTACGAAACGCTTCATATCGTCACTATGAAATCCGGACAACTGGAGATATGCAGAATTTTTTCAATGTCTATAAACTAACGTTGCAACTAAAAGTTGTCCGACATTAAATTTAATCTCATTCTAATTCAGTAATAGAATTGAATATGTAAAAGGTCTATGAGGACAGTTTCGCACAAAGTATTAAGATACAAAATTTCGCTTACTTTAGCTGTACTTTATGGAAGTGAGAATTTCCAAAGAACATTAAATCAACAAAGTTTTTGTTTGATGAAAAATGAAAGAATCAAAAAGATAAATGAAAAACAAATGCCAAATCCAAACCTTCCACTCATGTCTGTTAATATTCCACAATACCAATTGCGCACGTGCTGTTGACATACACATCAGAAAAAGATAGTACAAGAAATTTATAACCGTGCAAACACCTACAAAAATAAGCCAAAACAAGAGAAATAAGTAAAATTTCTCGTTGATCATATTCATCATTATGACACATTGTACCGTATGACGCTGCACATTACCGAGGCGACGTACCTGAAAAAGAGAAAGAAAAATGAATGGTTCGTCTTAGGATCTTCTTGCTTTTTCTTGAGAGCTTTGCAATTATCGGATAAGGTTTTTTGAATATCTGTTGAAATTTCATGAATTTAAACAAAATTGTTGAGCGAAGTTGAAAAAGTTAAACCTGGAAGTCACACATGATAACACGTGGGAATATTGCTGATTCCATCCATTCTTTTCCGGATACTACATCCGTTATTGTCTATAAAACACTTTTTTAGCCTAACTTTGATCATTAAAACAATGGTGAAGGTGATATTTAAAATATTAACTCAGCAAGTCAATATTGAAACACTGACTAACAAGTGGATACGTTATCTTGAATGATTCAAGGTGTTGGCTTACTCGGTAATCCGATAATTCATAATGATTCCGTATTTTACTTATATATGGTAGACCAATTATTATATAGAAAAACTAAATCCTAAATTACAACCATAGATTGATGTTGATGGTTAGAAATAAGCAATGGCAGTAATGGTTTTGTATAGTACTATTGATTATGGATAAACCTATCCAACGAATTATTTCACTTTTCTATCTTCGAAATTTACCAGGAATCTTCAATCTCTATTAGAAAAAAGAAGAAACTAAGATGAAATCTTGGAGATACTTGAAAGCCCCACTGCAGATAGTCGCCACCGAAGAAGTGATCTAACATGTAAATCTGGCCAATGATGTTTAATACGTAAAGAAGCTTTGTTAGCAAATACAACATTGTAGCATTTCGACCCGATCGAGCAAATCCCTGAAATACAGTATTTAATTTTTGAAAAATTAGAAAAATGAAATTAGCGGAAAAAATTGTCAAAGAAATTGAGCCTTAAATTTTTTCAGACAGAAAAGTATTGCATAAAATTCTAACCATTCTGGAACTATCCTGAGAATTGAAAACTGATACTGTATCTCCAATATATTCTGCCAAATTTCGAATTTCTACGTCACGACTATGACCATGTAAAGTAGAACATTTCTTAGCTTCCTTTACTATCCCTTGTGGTTGTATTGCTATTAAAGAATTACAAGTGAGATTTCAAGATGACGAAATTTTAGATTAGAGATTAATAGAAACTTTAATTAGAACATGGAATGAATATTTCAGTTAACAACTACTTATTATTAAATAATAGAAAGGTTATAAAGAGATATTATTACAATTGCTTCAATGCTGTATAGAAATTAAAATTTCATTCAACTTATCTTTCCAAAAATGAACTATGCAAATTTAATTTCGAGGAAAATAATTGAAGATGAAAAGCTAATAAGAAACGTGTTAAAGAATTAACAACCGAGGAAAGCTCTCGGAACATTACCTGTTTCTTTATAAAAAATACTCCAAAAATAGTTTGGCGTAAAAAACATCAAAGCTTGCAGCGCTAATACTATCGGTACCCACTGAAATGCAATAAATTCAGTACTGCGTTGCATACTTATTCCTATTCAACAGTTGTTATTCACTATAATTTATTAATGGCTGATTAAAAGTTATATTCGGCAATTTCATCGTCATTAGTTGAATATTTGGAGAAAGTATAGTACCCGATAATAGCTGATCTGATCTCTCCGTTCATGTAGTTCTTCTGGTATCTGTTCCGTAAACGGAATATAGTATGAATTCTGAATAAAACAATAATCTTCTGCATACTTTTCCCAACCACCTGCAAAAGAACTTTTAAAAAGTAAATTTCTCAATTTTTTTTCTCTTGGAATTCATAATCAAGCAAATAAATAAAGTTCGGTGATCCCTTCACCTCGAAATTCCATAGGGACCCAGCATTGAATTGGTGAACCGAAATACTGTTTTGCTGAGATAGCCAATGCTACCAAAGCTAATAGCAGTGATGTTGCATAATAATTCAAAAAATCCACTCTATCAGCAACCATTTGTGGTTTGACCACTCTATGGATATATTCTGAGATCAGTGGAATACCAAGCATTTTTGTTCAAATTATCTGAAAATCTCAAGATGCTCAAGTCAGCTCTAATAATAAAGCAGCATGACCAGGCTTCACATTACAAAGCTTCTATTCTAAAAAAATTTTAGTACGAAACGTCTATCGGCAAAAATTTTGTTTTGTGAACCAATATTAAATTCAATTATTTTGTAACTTTAATTAACTTAGGCATTAAACCAAAATATTATTGCATAAAACCGAATCGAGCGATTTATATATGAAAATGGCACTTGCTAATATGATACATGAAAATAGTTGTCGATAACGAATATTCGTCAAAATCGATGAGAGGACTAAGGAAAACGGTTGTTTGATTGATTTCACTTTTGCATAAATAAACAAAAAAAAACTGATAAAATTCGAAATTAATTGAAAACTAAAGATTAAAGAGATAAATTCTAGCAAAACAACTAACTTTTGAAAGCAAAAAAAAATTCGAATAAAAAATTATTTTAAAAACAATTAACTCTTCAGACAAAGGAATTTTCATCTTGACAAGTTAACAATTAATGAAAAACTATGGCATAAATATCAGGTTGAAAATAGTGAAAGGAAAACAGCGTTTCTGCAAAATGTATTGTGATGAAAAATAGGTTTCCTAATGGAGCTTATCAACAGTAAAAGTTTAGCATATTTCTAGTAAAAGTACTCAATATATTTAAGTGATTTAAATATTTAAGTTCTGACTTATTATGAATAATTTTTAAATCGTTAACGCACATTTAAACGATTAAAATAATCAATAGGAAATCTCTTTACTCCATCAATTCATTAAATCACTAATAGTTTCATTCTATTAAATGTAAATTTTTGTTGAAATCACTTGATTTTCTTGAAATTTGATTTCAGCTCTGCAACAAATATGAGGACTGTCACATGAAGAACATGGAAAGAAAGTAATTAATGTGATGAAAATGACAAAATGGTTATAAAGCAATGGTATCAGTTTCGATCAGTGCATCATTCCCAATCTTCTTGCTATGATGAAATTTGATGTAATTGAAATAAATAAGGAATGATTTGTTACTGAGCAAGTTTTATGATTAAAGATGAGAACTTTTGAAAAAGGAGAAATTTGCATAGATTACATTTTATGAACCATTCCATATATCCTAATCTTTACAAAATGCTGTTGTAATTTGACAATGTGATAAAATATTGTTAAACAAAAGAATACACAAACTTCTTGAAATCTAATCATAAATAATCGACAAAACACAACAAAAAGAAGTGAACTGTTCAAGAGCAAGCATCTCTGATGAGTCACATTGTCCACTAACCCAACAACTATTGACCTTTGTCAAACTGCCCTCCACTTTCCTTTTTTCATCGATCGATTATTCAGAAGTATAATGGCGATACAACACACTAAGCACAGTCCCAGCGAAAGATGATAGACAATCAAGTACCAAGAGTAGCTAATGATGATTGTTAACGAAACACTTCTCAAACAAGCAAAAAGTCGGAGAGAGAAAAAATGGTTGATTGTCAAACTTTCGAAACGAAGTCAATATGCTTTTCCATAATTGCAGAAGATGATAATACTTACATAAAGCAATTATTATTCTCAAAATTTTATAGAAACTAATTGTTTTGTGAGAATTTTCGAAAATAAGAAAACGTTCTGTGAGGAGAAAAGCGCTATTTAAGAAAAAAAAACAAACTTTCATTTGGAACTTTCAGAAATTGTCGATTTTACAAAACGAAGTTATCATTCAGATTGCATTGCGAAGAACAAGTGATAACACTAATTTAGTGACAAAAAGTGGTGGTAATTCAAAGAGTGGTGGCAGTCCCTCGGAAATTATCTATCCACAAAAGGATATGAAAAAATGTTGTCAGGAAGTAATCGAAATGAAGAATATAATCAGATAGTTTCCTGTACAAAATAGGCGATTTTGGCGACAAAATGCAAACGACAGATGTGAAAGTGGACATAGTCATTGTTTCGATGGCAGTACGAGAACAAAATGTATAAAATGGTCAAAGAACAATGTGAAGCAAATAGAACATAGTGGTGGAGAGGTCCATCTTTGAGTACCACCACAGAGACCCTGACCTCTTCTCTTCTCGTCCCTTTTCTCTCTCCGCTTCGTATTGTCTCATTTCATACTAATCACTCCTTAGAAAGGATTCAGCTTTAAAAAAGTGATCTTTTGTCCAATGCTAACTCTTGACATTTCATACAGAGGTAGACGGACAAAGACCACATCAGATGTCAAGAAAAGGACAAGCCAAACGCCGATAAGAGATATGATCCACAACTTGACATATGGCACTTTGCGTTTCAAATCGACAAAAGCCACTCCTTAATTCGAATTTCGGAATGAAGAAGGGACAGAGGTAAACAGCAACAAAATTCGATATTACTTCTATTCTGAGAGTTGGTTAATTTGATTTGATCTGATCTGATCTGATCCAATCTGATGAATAAAGCTATACAACTTATGCCTGGATGATTTCAATTTCAGTCATTGAATGGAAATAATTTTATGTACAATGCTTTCCTCTTCGACTTTCCGCCCACTTATTTTTTATTTCGTTTAGATATCTTACGTCACCCTCCTTGAAGTTATTTTCCATAAAAAATTTTTGCTCTAAAGCTAATATTCCTCGCCTAAATTTACAAATATTATTACATCGTCCCACATTTGGTTAATAGTAATTTTCCGAATACATTTATTTAGGTATACTTCATTTGTCGATAATATCATCAGAAAGATGGGACGACTGCTTAGGAGGAGTACGACATCCCACATGATCGTCATTCCTTTAAGATATATTTCGTTATACTGGTAAGGAAAACTGATAGGCTCTTTCCTAATCTGTCCAGTATTGAATACTTAGTAGCCTTTCTTTGTTCACTTTGTTCCCTTTTGCTTTTCTGTCTTCAGTTTAGTATCATCGTAGACTTGCAAGTAAAAAATCGAACGTGATCGAACGAAACCTATCTTAATTAAAGGAAAAAGGACATGTGTCAAACTATGTCTTTAGGGTTTAGACATGGACAGAGGGTAGAGTGACGCTTATTATGATAGAAAGTTGATATCACTGTCGAGAGTTGTTCTGATTGCCAGAAGGCTGGATGGAGTCCAACGTTTAAAGCTGATTGGCTTTATCTTATCAGTTCATCCAACATTCAGTTGTTGTGTGCCTTTTAAAAAATTGTTAGCACATGACATCTTAAAGCATTTTATCATGAATACATAATACTATTTCATCAATAAGCTCTTCACGGGTACTGTAACCTAGTGTTGATCACATGAAAGATATGATTTCTGTATCATATCTCTTACCAGGCCGGAACCCACGACCTGATATCATAGCTGCGGAACGTGATGTCAGTGGATACTAAAATTTCTCTCATAATTTCCGAGTCATAATTTATTTTAATAAATTTTCTTGATAGACAGTATTTTTTATAAGAAATCCGGAATTTTATTGTCAGGTTTCGAAATTTTGGAGAAATTTCATTCGCATATGTTTTCCACAACGATTTTTGATCCTTTCACTTGTCATTTTAACTTCTTAATTGTTATTTTTGTACAAAGATCGCAAAAACTTGCCACGACTTGGCCAACGCTATCCATCCCAAAAACTGATCTTAGAGATCGCAGATGTGATGATCCTTCATTCGAACCACAGCCAGTTTGCTGAAATGTCTATAATAAGAATCTCGCATGCCTTGATTTTTCCATGATCAACTGATGTGGACCACTGAAGATGTGAAACAAAAATTGGAAGATTCCTAAAGTATCAGGACTGTCCAAAAGTAACGATAAATAAAAATGTACCTGAGTGTACCTGAGTTGTACCTGAGAGAATGTACCTGAGTTGGGGTTGCTAAATGTTTACAGAGCTTCACAAGATATACTGTAACAAAGTTAAAGGCTTAAATCACCAATGACCTTTTCTAACCGCAGTTTGCAAAAATTCCCAGAATTAATATACAGAAAGACAATCTATCATTATTACTTTCGTCTACTGAGACATTTTGGCAGAATCTACTGGGACCTTTTGGCAGAACGTTACGTTTGCTTCAGTTTTATCAATCAATAAATCATCTTACTCTGTATACGGGAAATTTCGCGGTATTTGAATCATCGATGATGCCTGTAACGTGATCAGCCGATAAATAGCAACAAATTAATGTACCCAGCAGAGTCCTGTTGAAATGAATTGACGATGAACGAGATGGTGACATCACTACGAGTTTAGCAGTTTCTGGAAATTTCTTTTTCAGCATATTGTGCATCATTTTTTTTTTTTGTATTCCTCTCGTTTTTGTATGTGATGAGTATGTCAGAAAATTTTAATGAACTATGGAAATCAAACCGTATTTGAATTGGATTGAAGCAAAATGTAGAAGGTTAGAATTATGATTCAAATTAAGATCAAAACTTCATCTATACAAATGCTTATAGTTGTATGTACATCAATTAAAACTTTCCAAGAGACTGAGAATTCAGAATTAAAAATATGATAACAGAAATCTGAAAGGCTTCAAACTGCGACTCCTATTAAATAAACTAGGCAAAGTTAAACGAAAATAAAGTCAAAGCATGAATAAAATAATCGAACTCGGTTGAAATTTTGAAATTTAACGCGCTAAATCCACAGTACCGCCTACTTCATATCGCAATCAGTGCCCCATTCATTCCCAAACCTTTTATTTGTAAATAAGCAATCGACATCGCTATTGTGTGGATACAGGTTGCGCAATTTAGAGCTTTTCTTTCCGCCTATGCATTTTGCTTTTATCTTCTAATTTCAGAAAAAAGTTTTACCCATTGAAATTATATGCATGCATACAAATAATACTTAAGACTATTGGAATAGTTTTTCTCATTTTTATCATGTTTATGTGTAATAATCTTCTGAGTACTGAATCTTCCGCATGGATTATGGTCAGGAATTCCGGAAAATTTGAAGATGGGATAGCCGAAAAGGTGTGACAAACATTGACTTTCGATGTGGAAAAAATGAATAAATAAATTGTTTGTGCAAAAGATATCAGCGATAAATGTTAAAACTTTCAATTCTGTCAACAATTACTGTTCAAATTTCAGCTTTCCCAACAAATGTTGAAATTTTTCCGTTTAAAACAGAAGTTTGCAAAAGTTCTGTTTTAAACCGTACAATGACAAATATTTAAAGGAATGAGACAAGTTGAAGAATTATTCACTTATACAGAAATGAAACAAAATGATAGGTTATTTTAACTTGATTATTATATGAAATATTTTAGGTTCGACCGTGGACTCCGTCACGTTAAATATCCATCCTAAACAATAATTTGAGTGTCAGACTAATATCTGAAGACACAACAGAAAAAAAGGGATTTATTCATACTAATTTCCTTCATTATCTTTCTATAACCATCTCTAATAAACTATAAACTGATAAATTGTCATCACTGTTTGTTATCTCTTTAATTACAAATAATGAGCGCAATAAACCATCAAATACTATTTTAATTTATTTTTAATCAGTCACTTTGTGGAACATTGCACTGAGGAAGACTTAGATTTCCCATAGTGCCATCTTTGATTCGAACAACTGTTTGCCGTAAGTTACTATTAAGAAAGTTTGTTTTCCACTCTTATGTCATGATACCATTGCTGTTACTGCTGTTATTTTGGTCCCTCGTTGCTACTACTATCCAAAATCGAATTTACCGTAGGCCACCGCGGTAAATGTTCAACTCATAGCAATGTCTCCCAAAATTGGCATTAGTTGCCACAATCAGTTAGATTGAAACATTTCTTCTACCTTACTAATCGTTTTGATTCAGTATCACACTGCAAAATCAGTCCAACTCCAAAGAGTCTGATATAATTTTGAAAAAAAACGCGATGTGCAATTTTGCCAACAATACCATTTCGGGCAAAAACTTCAATTCCTTAGTTAGTTGACAACTTTTTATTGGAACACTCTCAAAGGTCTGGTTTTTGCCTCGATCTTTTTTTATCTAAATGTGTTAAATGTCTGGAAGATGTTAAATTTCCATGTTATCATAATCATACTCTATATTCCAAGAACAGTAATCTTGCGATTATGACCAGTGTTATGATCCGAAGAGGAGTAGTCTGAAAAGTTCAACTGTCAAATTTCAGAAAAGTAGTAGAACAAAATAGCCATATGTATTTATTAGATTGTATCTGTCCCAATAACATTTCGAAACGATACTGCTTTCAAATAAATGAGCTAGTCGATACATTTTATTAACCCTAAGTTTAAAGCAACAAAACTGTCATATTAAAGATAACGAAACTGTCAAAACGAAAAAATAACAAAACTGTCAAAAGACAGCAAAAAAAAAGACAAAAAAGGCAACAAAACAACAAAAGACAACAAAACTGTCAAAACTGTCAACAAAACTGTCTGATTATATTCGAGGATAGACGGTGGCTGCATGTCTAAAGTAATTCCTTTCAAATTAATCAATCTTTCATGTAAGTTACTGTATCTTATTGGTGTAAGCCTTAAGAGGTGACATCTTTAACAAAGAGCATATTCCTCGAGAAAATTTATCCAGTAAGTTCCATTCTGATCATTATCTGTTTTTGATGAGTGGCCAAGTTGACTAGATAGATATAGTAAAGAGTATCATAAATGAAAGAATTCAACAATTTCAAGTCTGGGTGTTTCTCTTCTTGGCTAAGTTTTTCGAAGTAGCCGTACTGCTCGCTTTTATCACTGCAGTGATGCATAGAGTATCGATCGTTTCATGTACTTCACTGCCTATTATATGATCTGTACGATCTCATAATTTAATTTTATTACTTTTACTGGCTAAACTGAAAGAAACATGCAGAAAGGATTAATAATTAGATGGAAGAACAGAATAAAAATAAAAAATAAAAAAATAAAAACTTGCGTTGGGAAAAAGAAAGATAAAAGAGATGCAAAAATATTGGTGTAACTGTGGATTCTTTAGGATTCTGATAGACTATTAACATCAATAAATTGATCATTCCGATGTTAAACAGGTATGTTTATCACTCAGTTTCTCATGATTTTGAAACTAAGCTTACTGAAAACAATCTTTTGTTGACAGTTTGTTACTTCAATTTTATAGCAAATGGCTACAAACCAGAAAATACTTTTCTGGCTGTAGTCATTAGTCCAATTCCTCAAAACTTATTTATTTTAGAAAATTTTATTCTCACAATTTAAAGATTATAAATTCAAAATTCCTCGTAAGTCGGCTCATTCATACTTTATGGTGAGTTGATTTGTGGTTCATTAAGGATTTTGATTTCCTACGTGATATACATTATTGTTCGTGGCGTTTCGTTGCAATGAAATATAAAGCGCCGGCCAAAATAACACTTATAGGTTCAGGTCATTGGGGGTCAGCGATTGCACTGATTGTTGGACGGAATGCCGAAAAATATAGAAATGATTTCGATCCAGAAGTTCGTATGTGGGTTCATGAAGAGATGGTAAACGGAAAGAAACTTACTGAAATTATCAACACGCAGCATGAAAATGTCAAATATCTGCCGGGTAAAGAATTATCATCAAATGTAGTAGCTGTTGATGACTTAGTGGCAGCTTGTACAAATAGTGATATACTTATCTTTGTGATACCACATCAGTTTGTGGAAAGTATTTGCAATCAGTTGAAAGGCCACTTGAAAGAGGGCGCTTTGGCCATTTCACTCATCAAAGGTTTTCTGATAGATAAGAAAGAAGGAGTGATTCGTCTAGTGTCTGAAGAAATCCGGGAACTACTGAATATCGACACAGCGGTATTAATGGGAGCAAATGTAGCCCAGGAAGTAGCGAATGAGGAATTCTCTGAGGCAACGATTGGCTATAAAGGTCAAAAAGAAAAGTGGCCGATACTGAAAAAACTGTTTGAAAGTGATAATTTCCGAGTTAATTTGACCAAAGATTCCAATACTGTCGAATTATGTGGTGGTCTAAAAAATATAGTAGCATGTGCAACTGGTTTCGCAGATGGTTTGGGATGCGGAAATAATACAAAAGCAGCTATCATACGGTTAGGACTATTGGAAATCATTGTATTTGTCGAGCTATTTTATCACGGTTCAAATATTCAAACATACTTCGAAAGTTGCGGGATAGCTGATCTCGTAGCAGCATGCAGTTCTGGCCGTAATCGCAAAATATGCGAAGCATTTGTTAAAACCAGAAAATCGATCCAGGATCTGGAGCGAGAAGTGCTGAATGGACAAAGTGTTCAGGGTCCAGCAACTGCTGAAGCAGTCTTTGTAATGCTAAAAAAGCACAATATGGTATCAAGATTCCCGTTATTCGTTGCGGTACATCAAATATGCAACCAACAGCTTTCACCCAGTTGCCTGATGGAGCATCTTCGGGAATGTAAAAGTGAACTACCTGATAATTGGGTGAAAGGTCAGCAGTTTTTTACCAATGCTTATCAGTGTAAGTAGTAAATTTGGAAGATATTAATGGATTCCTTTCTATTGATCCTAAAAAGACTGCTTAGCAATACGCAGAACTTCATCTGTCGTTTGAAGACTTAAAAAAGAACCGTACAACAGCCACGTTCCTGATACCGTAACGGGTCAAACATCAAATTACATTCTTTGCTTAGGGCAAATGAACGATTAATGAAGCAAAACGATCAGTGTAACTTTATGTAACAGCGAAAGGGAGGAGAAATTAAAAGAAATTGATATTTTCTTATTTATTTAAAATTGAAAATGATTTTTAAACCGATAACCCAGAAATTTTTCAAAACAACTTTCACCGTTTTGGGCTTTTTTTTCTTTACTCAATATTTTCTAACTAATGTGAAGATTTTGCACTCTCCTAAAGTAGGCCGTTAATCATCTCATATATTTTAGTTCAATAACAAAACCTCAATTAATCCAAGTATTAAATTAAATTTTTCTCTTTAAGCTTTTCAATATTCCGCCAGAAAGTCCTCCTCCCTTCATTCATAACTATTGCATCGGAGAAAGCTAATTGCCGGGAGCTGTGCAAAATCAATTTTCTATTAGTCCTAATGGTTCATTAAAGTTCTTTCATAAAGAATATTTTTATTATGAAGTCATCAAAGGTGTAATAAATCCTGCGATGCATTCGCCTTCAGATTTTATGCCTTCTGTTTTTATTTCATCTTTGATTCATCTATTCGTTTTCTCGGCTGTTTTAAATGAAGGAATAACAGAATCCTTTGCAATATATTAAAATCATTCGGGAAGATTAAATTTATTCGGAGAGCTGCGAATGATTGGATCAATCCAGCCATCTCAGCAGTATTTTACAGATGAAAATGTTATGGAAATTCAGACACACATTAAACAACTGTTAAAGATAATTTAAGTCCAAAATAAATTTGATCAGACTTATCAATGATCAGGTCAACCATCGATTTTTGCTTCCTCTCAGATTTTCTTAATTGAAACAGAAGCAGTGCATTACTTCGAGTCCTATTTCCTCAATCTACTAAACATTCATTCTTTAAGAGCTAAGTTAATATCTCATTAGTTCATACTTATCTTTTTTTGACGACTTGTGCCGGGAAAGTTTTGTATGTGTTGAATAGCAAGAGAAAGGTTTATTCAGTAGTAGAAGTATAGCAATTAAAATAACACAATGTTTGTTATTTGATAGTAAAATTAGGAGATGGAATTGGAAGCTACAGTCTGTTTAAACTGTCAGTCAAAGGTCAAGTTGTGCGAGATAAGGCAGGCATTTTGTGAACTTCGACAGCGAAGATTTATTTTTTTAAATGCCAGGAATGCTTTTATTGGGGCCTTAATATTGATCATAAGTGGGTTGGGCTTAAGATAAGATAATAGCTCCATTTAAGGTTCTTACAAAGCCGACAATAATTTCACTGATACGGGAAACACACAAAAGATTAGATTTGTTTGTAAGAAGAGAAAATGGAAATAGAATTATCTCACCAGATGTATAACTTTCTGGTTAGCAGATTTAACATCAAAGGAGAAGATATTTTGCACGATTGGCCTTAAACAATACACTCATCGCTTTGGATATAGAAAATGTTACATATATTGTTTGTATAATGTGATGAGTTTTTATCACGGAAATGGTTTTTTTACATCAAATTCTTTAGCTGTTTGGACATATTACAATTTCCTTCGGTTTTTTCCGATAACTTGTGAGAATGTTTGAAAACATTTTTTTCCAGGAAAGGAATCTCGAATTTAGCGTGCGAGAATTATGCAACTTTAATTCTTTAAATTTTATTGAATCAGAGAAAACTGTAAGGTTTCATTGTAAACAATGCAACAGTAAATCATCAAATGACGAAATGGGAAGGTAGAAAAGTAGAGGAAAATGCTAATTTGATTGAGTAGTGGTAAGAAGCGATCGATTCAATGTATCGTTTACCTTGCACCGGATAGTTTACATATTATTTACAGACAAGTTAAGATTCAAGGAAGAGTCGTTAATCTTGCAACGTTTCATTTATCCCATCCATTGACTGAGCTACTGATAGATCAGAAATGAGGGACACTGTGACAGGATTTGTCTTGTCACATTGAAAAGTACTCATTGAGTTGTTAAAACATTTTATTTCATTTTTTTAGTCGAAATTTAAAATTGGGCGAATCCTTGTCGTTTTATCTCTTTTTTGGTTGTTAGTAAACAAAGAAAGGAAAAGAATGGAAAGTGAAAGAAGAATAAGACAAATGAAAAAAAGAAAAAAGCGGGAAGAAATGAAAGTAAGGAATGAAAAGAAAAGGCAATGAAGAGGATTTCCTGGCAGTAATTGTAACTGCAAAGTTTTTCAACTCAATTAGATGTTTGTGATTTAATTAATTAGCTGTAAGTGTGTTGGCGACGGTCCTTTGATTTGTTCTGTCTCAGTCATTTCTTTGTTATTTTAATAGTTCATTTAGTTAGAGATTGTCTAGACTTATTACAAAAACTGTAATATTGATCTTTAATAAAAATTTCTTTGAACTTTTGATTTCTCATTCAAGTGTCCTACATAGAAATGACCTTTCCTTTCTATCTTTTCCTGCCGTTCCTTTCTTCATATCGTTTCTTTATTGTTTTTTTTTTCTAATTGTTTATAACTTGTTTGTTATTGTTTTGTAGTACGATAAATGAGAAGGGAAAAAATCGAAAAGGAATAAAAAAGAAGAAGAGGATAAAAACAGTAAAATAGGGTGAAAAAGAAAGCGAGGGAAAAAGAAAAGAATTTTAAATTGAAGAAAAAGAAAAGAGAGAAAAGAAAGAAGAAAAGGGTGGTAGAAAGAGAAAAAAGAGAAAAGCGCAGTTAAAGAGAAAATTTTTCATTATTTCATCAATGATTACTAAGTGTGAACTTGTGAAGGATCACCTTGGCCGCTTTATATAATCTATAGGAAAAGCTTCCACTTGCTACCTGTTATGAGTGTCATCGTATTTCACTAAACTTTTGAGATTTTAATATTTTATGAGTTCTTTCTGTGCTCTTCTCTTTGTTCGTTTGTTTATTTGTTTATAAAATTTAATTGGGAAAATAGAAGATGGTCACATTCATTAGTGGCTGAACTATCAACTACGCTTTTAATCACTTTCATTTTTCGACTATAAATCATATGGATTCTATTTTGTTTGCTTAATTGTATTTTAGTTTTAATTATGACAGATAGAACATAGTAAACTGACCATTACAAAATTAAATTGTGTTAACGTACAGCAGCATTCCAAGATTTCTAATTTAGCTTATGTAAGCAAAAGAATGAGTTTGCCTTCACTTATTTCTACTTACTGAATTAATCAATTTTTCAGATTTTTCTCCGTGTTTCTCATCTAATCATCCTGTAAATTCTATCACTCGTTGGTTGATATTTCTCTCCCTACCGAATCATTTTTTTGAACTTATGAATATTTATGTTCTCCACAATTTTTTTCTCATGTGCTTAATGATTATCATTCAACTAATTACTGTCATTTTTTCGAACGGATATGGTAAGTTATGTTTCGTCATTATGTGTCCAAATTAGTATCAGTGTTCATTTTGTGATTGCAGTGTTATTGTTTTAAAACGTTTTAAAAGACTTTTGAACAACTTTCTTCTTTTTTTTTCGATTTATATTCTACTATTATTACTATATATGATACCGTTTATTTGTTTTTCAAAATATTTACTGAAATGTTATTCGTCTGTGGATAAGTGATTTAAGTAGTTTCTTTTAGTTTTATTTCACAATAATATTAATATCTGTTCTAGGAATAATACGGGTTATACTAGTGAGTTTTCGCCCACTTAATGTCACTTGTATTTGTGCAACTAATATCCTTTCGTATTTTGTGACGAAGACTATTACCGTTGCTTCCGTTCGTGTTAATGTACTGGTTTGATTACTGTTAAGCAGATTCATTTCCTATTTTGTCAAATTCAAAGTCTGTCTGGTAATTTGGATTGATTTGTTATAATTTTTTATTTTCTGATCAGCTTTGAAGGAATATAGCAATGTCTTCTGAATAAACAGTTGAATATCTGGCCAAGTATGGTAACTAATGCAGGGATGTGTTGAATGCCAAGAAAAGTTGTCCCTTTTATTCAATTAAAAAATTAACAAAGTGAACACATAAGGGAGTGAACAATTCGGAATGTTTTTAATTAATATAAGTTAATTGTAAATTGTTTGTGTGTAAGTGACAGTACCACTAGATTTCCCGAAATAAGCTTACGCAAAGTTTGGAATTAAAGTGGTCAAAATTTTTTGATCAAATGTTGTCTGGTGACAATACAGGTTCATCCCTAGTTATAGCATGTGAGTAAGGCATGACATGACAAGATGAAAATTTAAGGATTAGATTCTTAATTTAAGAGGCTGGAGAGAAGCTAACAATATAGTAATTAAATGATTCATGGTTACATATATCATAATCATTTCCTAGAAATCTCAACAGTTTTTAACTCCCAGCAACAAAATTAATTTGTAAGAAATTAAAACGAAGTACTTACTGATTAACGTCACATATTATCATGTTGACCGCTTTATTTCCGGTAACGAGGTTCGTAATTGGATTGCTTCCGCATCTGACCAAATACTTCGATCAGTGAAAAATTCCATTCCGGTTAATAGTTCGATATCGCGCATTCGAGCTGTGTTGTCATAGAGATACTCCGAAGGTTTCTGTAAAAAGCCAAAATGCCCACTGTGAGGAAGGAAGACATTTTTTTGGTAATAAGTTTAATGTAAAAGCAAAATGTCATAATTCCTCCAAAAGGAATAACATCTATTTTCCAATGCAATAAAATTTTACCGATTAGTTTGTACACTAATGCTGAATATGCTCGCGGTCTTTTACACCTTCGATCTTTCATTGGTTGTATTGAAAGCAAATCTTATGATGACAATTTTCATCCGGAATCGACCCGTCGTCTTAGCTTTTCAATTATCAATTAAGCTATTCTAAGGTTGGTATTACTTTAGCTGAAGATATTATGTATCCTAAATGAAACTGTGCGATTTTTTTTAATACAAAATTAAGTGCATAAATTATCTTACCAAGCAGTTCAAATTTTTGCCTTTAAAAGGTAATATATAAGGGACGAAGACGATATCCTTGCATAAAGTATGATCAATCAGTGCGCGATTTTCGCACCACATGAGCACGAAGAACAAGTGCGACGGATCACTTTTCCTGGAATTTAGCATTTATTTCGCAAGGAGAAACAAGAAAGATAGTGATATGTGTCAAATGCTCGGATTACTGTGCAAGATATAAAATTTTTTACAAGCTGGATGTCACATTAGAGGACAGACTGTATACCCAATGAGATCGTCACTGTCGCGTACCCCATCCCCGTCTTGATCATATACTGCACCAGAGAAAAACCGTAAGTTGCCATACTTGGCCAGATATTCAGCTGTTTCATTTAAAACGTATTGCCATGTTCCTGAAGACTTTTCTAATTTCCAATTAGCATAATTTTCTGTACATTTTTAATCACTTAACGTTCCATCAAATACAAAATCTAAATTATGGCTAATTTCGTATAACTTACCATCAATAAAAGCTTGAGGCACAGTTACTCGAGCCAGATCGAGCGTATAATAATGATCTGAAACGAAATCTGTGATCAAACAATATTTCAAGAGTGAATAAACGAGTAATGTGCACTCTGGTTACAAACGATTGTACGTTTGCGCCATTTATCGGTGATCCTAACTGAATGTCTCAGTCGACTTGCTTAAAGTCTCCTGTGATATTTCGTACTAGTTAATCATCGCTATAAGTTATTTTATAAGCAACAGAATAATGAGTTACCAAGATTTCCGAATAGCGAAATAGACGAGTAATTTTTATTCTTTGGAGTGTGACATGAATTAGTTTGTGTGACATTATCAATATAAGTCACACAATTCCCTCTAAAACAAATGATTATTTTAACTTTTGTGCTAGATATTGAAGAATGCTAACAAGTACATTCTTGCGCTAATTGAAATATACTACCGGACTTTTTTTCATTATGATAAGCATTTCATCGCTTAAAGCCTTCTAAGATGTTTCGTCCTAGTCAATCATTTGTACAAAACCTTACTTTATCTCTTCCATCCAAGCAGTATGCCTCAAGATACCTTCCACCATAACTGTTTTTCGCAACTTCTTGTCGAAATGTATAATTGCATCACATAGCTGTAATCTGCAGAGTTCGCCGGTAAAATGATAATTAGCACTGACAGAGCTGTGCAATATCGTCGGACAGTTCTGATAGGTGACATTCGTGAACTGAATGGTACAGAAATGTTAGAAAATTACTAGAAAATTGAATTACTGGGAGAGGATTTACATATGCCTGATCTTGATTCTTGACAAATCATCAAATGTTGTTCATCAACAATAGATTGTGACAAATGCAAAAGAAGATGTAAGGATGGAATCTTACAAGTGACATAAAAAAAGTTACCGGACAGTCATGTAAAAAACCACATGTTTTCATGATTATCTTATCAATGCATTGATCTGATAGACGATCAACAGCTGTTATCGGTATAGGTGGTGGAGAACGAAGTACGTTGAACAGAGTACCGTTAGTTCCATTATTTGGCGCGGCATCAATTCGTAATAAATCTTCACGAAAGAACTATTATAAAAGGCTTATTTTCCATAATTTAAAAAAACATCGAAATAGTAGGAATGAAAATTTTCTTCACCGAAACAATAAATATTACGGCCTTCTACCGCTCGATGATTCTGATGTTATTACAGTGTTGTACGGGTTCAAAGCATACCCCTAACAGGTTCATTTTTTTTCCCATCTACATTAATTTTAACTTCTAAAATGGTAGCTAACATGCGAATAAATTGTAAAGTTCAATGTTTTGGAAGTTACTGATCTCCCGATTTTGCGCAATATCAGGACCGACAGCAATGAAGGTGGCTCGCATGCTGGTAATCCGGTTATCATATCCGTGGTCACCGAGAAGTTTGTATGATTCTTTTTCCTCATCTGTCCTAAATGTAAAAAAAGTTTTCCATACTTCCGAACGGCTTCCCCTGAGTATCCAATCGTATTCAGTAAATTTTAAAAGATTGAATCATCAAAAGTTGTGAGACAGTTCGACTTACTCTGAACTAATTTTACCACGTAACAAATTACGGGGAGAGATTCTACAGTTGGTACTGTAATCGTCAAACGGAAAATCCGCGTAGGTATATATATATATATATTTATATATTAGTGTCTCGTCATGATAAAAATAGGGTACGAGTCTTATTAGACAACCGGATGGTGTCAGTAATTTGAACAGTTTTGAGAGTATGCCATTTAAAAGCACATACTGGAAAATGCACACTCCTGGACGACCTTTGATGACAATATCGCCTATTCTTGATGAACCAGCATAATGAAACCTTATCGGAACCAAATCCTTTCTGTACGCTAAATAATTATTTCCATGCCGACACTCCAAATTCGATATTATATTATTGACAATGTTATCTTCATCTGGAAAGTCATAGAAAATAAAAGCATTTATTCTAACGAATAAAAAAAATTGTAAAGTTGCTTGAGAAGATCCACTAAGCAAAGCAGTATTACCGTTCTGAAATGAATGATCGGTCTGGTTGACTTTTATTCGAGCTACCACGCCAGGAAAAAACAGGTCATTGAATTGAGGTCCTAGGTAATTAGCAGTAACCACAGATTTTTCCTTGTCCATTGATTGCATACCTGATAAGACCCAAATAATTGTGGATATTAAATCATTTCGCACAAAAACATTTACATGATCCGTTAAGGAAATTACCTGTGTCTAATTTGACTACAAGAAATTTTGTCGACTGGAAATGTTGCTGATGGTTTGATTTTTTTTTAAAAGAGAAAGTTTGGTAAAACTTGTCCTTTCTAAGTTATCCCAGGTTTTCTTACTGTATCAATAAGACGAAATAAACAAGCAAATTATTATGAATAATTCTGTCTTCATTGAGAAATATTATTTCCAAATTATAAAAAATTCCAAGTTTTAAAGGAATATGAATGGTCAAACCGTGATCAGAAAGTAAAACGAAATTAATGCAGCCCATGAGACCTTCTTGAGACAATCGATTTATTAAATAGTTAATTATTCCATCCATTAAGATTAACGCTGTCCGAACCTTAATATTAAAATATTGAAACAAAAATCCCTCAATTGAAATTGCATTCCATTTAAATCTAACATGGCTTGATTCTAATATGATTTAGTTTATATTATTGCTGAAAAAAAAAACTTTATTGTTAATATTACTATTTCGCAAGCAATAAATTAAGTAGATCTCTGGTAAAGGATTGGTTACCATTTGAGAATTCGGTCCACCTCTATGTCCGGCATAATCCGGTTCTTCAAAATATGCCTGGAGAACTGATGGTCGTTCACCATCCGGCAGATTCAACCATTTGATTAGCTGAAATTTCACGAGTTTTCATTTCATTCGATATTACTACAAATTACCGCCCTTTGTGATCGAATGTACAAAAGCGATAGGAAAATTCATCGTCAACATTTCATATGCTTTGGTGTTTTTTTTTTAGGACAACTTTTATATTATTAATTTGATGAAATTTTTAATATAATAGCTTATATGTTTAACAAATAATATATGTTTAAAGTTAACATACAAAGCAAATTTTCATTCTATCAAAATTAGTTGGAAAAAACAAACAAATCATAGCAGTGACCACGATTGGTATCGATAGCTGTTCTTAATAAAATTAAAGGAAAAAGGAATGGAAAGAAATGTCATCAAATGCTTACCGTATCAATGCGATGTGTGAGTGGTACAGAGCTATTGTATCTAATCCAGTAGTTGGGCAGTTTTCCTGAAACAATTTCTCTTTGTAAAATTTGGTAAAAACAAAATAGACCAAGAGAAGAAGGGTAACATCGATAAATGGACAGTTAGCATGAATTGTTTGCTAGCTGTCATACATGTTTGAGAATGATAGAAACGACAGCGTAATTTGTGAATGAATCAGAAAATATGATTTGAGAGCGTTTGTCGTAAGTCTCTTTCGGAATGTATCCAAATTGCTAAAAGGAGTAACGGGACTCTAACTCTAAAATGTGCGGCTGTATTATTTACCGCAAATTTCTTTTCTATCCTTATAACTATTAAAGCAAGTTATATTTGTATTCCATCATTTACGGATAATATGATAACATGAAACATATCTCTTACCAACTGCATTACTTCCAGGCCAAAAAAATACAGCTGACATGAGACCAGCTTTTTGTGCTGTTTCCCATATCTGAATTTTCCGAATTTATTTAAATTAACAAAATTTGTGCGATTTACAAAAATGAGAAAGTGAAAGACAAGATTTATCATGATATTTCGATTAAAATATTATCGCCAATAAAATACTTCGTTTTTTAATATATCTTAAAATATTAAAATATTATTGCGATTAAAATATTTAAATATGTTATATTAAATGAAATTTCAATTTTAAAATCAACATAGCACTGGCGATTAAAATCCATGATAATCAAGCTGCAAAAAATCCAAAGAAAATTTTTGTAGATTTTGAAACAAAGAAACAAAAAAAAATGACATTTACCGGTTCCCCGAGATACCAACCAGGTTGATTGATATTTTTCTTGAAAAAGTCCTGAAATACAGCGAATAATTTAAAAGCATTACGTGAGAAAATAATTTGTATTTAACAACTAGTGAAAGTGTTAAAAGTAACAAAATCATATGTAATTTGGTAGGATTCTGTCGATTACAATTATAAAAAAGAACGAGATCATGTATCAAAAAGAAATGGGAAATTTATTCTCAAGAAATCATGTATCACGTACGCGTCATCTAAATATAACTAGATCGAAGTGAATAATTAGGCTCTTGATGAGCGTAAAGGTATTATTTCCATATGTGAAATAAAAGATATTACCTTAAATCGTGTGTCGTAAAAACGATTATCAATGATACCATGCCAAGCGGGATAAAGTCCCGTTGCTATAGTATAGTGATTTGGGAAAGTCTTAGAAGGAAATGTTGGTAACATATATTTGCTATGGGTACCATAATTTATTAAACGCTGGATTGTTGGTGTGATATTTTTATCCAAATAATTATCCCGGAAACCATCGGAACTGATGATGAGCAATGGAGGTACGTCGAATCTGCAAAATAAATGATTTAGCAATAAGTTACTACTCCTGAAAATCATTCGACAGAATGACTTCCTAGATATTGTTGACGATATCAGAAAAGTTCATCTCAGGAAATCAAAGATAAATCATTTAAGGATATTGTACTGGTTTGCAATTATGCTGAAATTACTTACTTCCTTTTGCATACACTTAGATCGTCATGACCAGGAGATTGGATAGTATCCTTGTGTTTCTCAAACTTTGTTCTTGCAATTATATACAAGCTACCGAATATGATGACAGCTGCAGTGAGAAGTGGTATTATGATTCCCCATGCAAATAGTGTGGATTTTCGCAATTTTACATTCATTTCTACTGTATTTACTGAAATTTCTTCCTTGAACTCATAAATTGGAATGTCTGGACTTGTCCCCTGAAAGTATTGTTAAGATATTGTTGATAATACAATGATAATATGATATCAGTTTCAGATAAAAAAATAACGCGTTTTTCGCTGCACGGTTATATTAATCACTTCCTTCATTTTCTATTTTCGCTAATGAATTATTGTTCTTAATGTCAAATTAAATACAAATTGGAGCAATTTCTATTCGAGTTAAGAACTTATCAGAAAACAGCAGGGATGATTAATAATATTCACATGAACTTGGCTTAGAAAACTAAGAATGTCCAGTGTAATCATAATTCACTGGGTGACAACTTATAAAAGTTAACTATAGCTAGTTAAAAGGATTCATAGAAAATTCTTGCTTATAGGTGATGATTGCCAAAGAAGTCAAAGTCAACCATGCTATGCTTATTTAGCATTTAAAATTAATTCGACAGAAGGTCAGTGATCGGATTTCGTATAAACTGACAAATAATCAGAAATGGCTCGTAAACTTTCCTTCACTTTCCTCCCAAACTTTTTGATTAGACAATGAGCACGATCAAAAATAAATTGTATTTCACAATGACCATCTAACTGCTTAAACAAAAAGGTTTGTATCGAAAAAGATCTTTGCTGATCTATCACCATACAGATTTTTGAATCCTGGCAAAATCATTATATCTGATAATTATCCTTAGCAAATCGACGAGCCGTACCGGAAAAGACAATGTCTAATGCCGTCATCAACTAACAGAAAAAAGACCTAATTTCTTCTAATGTCAGTCCTGAAATGTCGTACAATCAAGGTTTCAGATATTAAATGACTCAACTATAACTTTGTCTTATCCGTTATATTTTCCTAATTGTTTACTCATTGGCTACTGTTTCAATCATCTCTATCACTTTTTGCAATAAAAATTCTTCTAAAACCAACGGGATCCAGAAATGCATTCGAAGAGTTCATTGAATTTCAAAACATATATAAGCAAATCCAACTCAAGTTAATAAAAACGCTAATTATTACTTTTGCTTCGTTCAATAAAATTTATTGACCATAATATTTTCAAATTGTTAAAAATGTTAGATTTGTTAAAAAAATTAAACTTCTGTACCAACTTGACACTTCCATTCCCATTTTTAATGATAATTAATTTCTGTAAATAAGCTAATTAAGTTCTCTAAATAAGTTTAGTTCTGAAATTAAATGAGGAAAATTTCTGTTATGATTGGAGTACACAAGATTAGTACAAAGCATTTATTTTTCATTCTGTTCAACTAAGATCTAAAAGTCTTAGTTTTTTCTTTTTTTTAAATGGATCTGGTGAAATGTGTACACAATGTATTATGACTATGCAAATTTTTGGTATTACTTTTTCAAGTTGGAAATCTCAAAGACCAAAATCAAAAATTTATTGAAATCACACAGTAAAATAATTTCATATGGCATGAAATTAATGACATATTTTTGTAGTTTATGACGCAAACACTCAAATTTTATGTGTTTGTACAAATATTATATTTGGCTGTCCATAACTATACAATTAATTTTTACCTTTGGAACGACTGCGGCCATTGACTGTTTTAATTGTTATTGGTGATATTGTTATCGAAAATTGGTGATACTGTCAGTTCCAAAATGCAGTTTGCGTTGTTGCACTGTAAAATCTAATTAAAGGTTTTACAGTTACTCCTTATCGCTTCTTTACCCAATATTTTTCACGGGAACAAAATATATTATTCATCGATAAAAGGATAAGATGAAATGAAATTTCACATTTATTTCGTATTTCTACCTCATCCTACAAAATAATCTTAAAATTTGAAATCGAAAGAGATTGTGATAAACGATTACGCGCCTTTCGGTAATCACGTATAATTAGAATATTTTTAACTATTAGCTTTTCTAATAATAACAACTTGTAAAGATAGCAACTGTTTTTTAAAGTATTTCATTTCACCTTTCGTCCTCAACTCTTTATTTCATTCCACAAAAAGCTGGAAGATGTTTAGCGGAGCGAATTTTTATTGAGGATGAAAAATGATCAATGAATGAGATTAATTAAAAATGGATTGTTGAAATTTCTGAAATAGAAGACATTAATTACATCAAATTACTCACTTAGAAATTTAATGGGACTAAAAGTTAAGTGCAAATATATTAACAGCATGTATATAAACAATACATATAACAAACATGAAATATATAGTATAAACCATGTATAACTATAGTTATACGGACTTCGTTTATCAAAAGAAAAGAAAAGTCTATTCATAATTAATATTTCATGATAAGGAATTGAATAAGGATAAATGTTGCTATCAAAATGCTATTCTGTCAAGAAAAGTAAAATGAATAATAGCAGAAAAGGTTCAACTATGTTTGCTTTATTATTGCAAACATACATTTTTGGCTTGAACTTTGATTCGATAGGTGTATAGCAAACTTCTGCATAATACTGTTTGATATGATTGAAAATTTCTACAGAAATGAAGAAAAGTACTGCAAATAAGAAAGCCAGAATGTGTACATGTTCGTTTAATAAGCTATCCTGTTTATATTATTTTTTTTCTATATGCTTGGGAAAAAAAATGTTAAGTTAAAAAATAAATGAAAAATGGGCTGTCAACAAAAACTATATTTTATAAGCTCAACTAAAAAATTGTTACGAGCAAAAAGGGAATTTAATGATCGTAAGGGTTAATGATCAAATTGATTTTATATTCAAGTTGATATAATATTTAGTAGTATTATGCAAAAATCAGATTTGTAAATTTAATCCTGACAATTGCTGTTCTGTTCCCCCACAAAGTGCCAGTTAGCTAACTGATGGAAACAATAAATTTAGGTTTCATTTCTATAAGACTCATTTTCCCAACAAACATTTTTTAATGGTCAATTGACGGATAGGTATAATGTGAAAGGTTTAAATTTTGTATAAGGACTATAAAATTTGGCAGAGGTCTCTTCGATAATAGATGACAAAAGTAGCAATGGAAAAGATAGCGCTTTTGTAATCATTTCGTAATAGCGTTAGCATTGTTAGAAGCTCAACAAGAAATATTATTTGAAGTAGTTTTAACGAAAAGGATAAAGAAATTTGTTGGAAAAGGTGTTGAAGAATTCATAATTTTTTGGAAACATTTTTTTTTAAAAGATGAATTAAAATTTGAAGACATTTCCTCCTAAAGTAAACAGATAACTCTTTGCTTTATTATTCTATTTAAGATCAGAAATCGAGAAATTTGCGTGGAGCGCTGTTTATAAATTTTAAGTTTTTGATAGCAACTTTGTCATATTTAGCTCATTAATTCAAACATTCATATGTTATTTACACCACTGCTTTTCTCTCTAGATCATCTCAAGTCTAGATCAAACTACAATACGTAATTCTAACTAATTATGTATTTAAAGATTTAGACTCTGTCGAAGGTTTATTTATACATATTTTTTAAAGGAGGTTAAGTGATGAAATTGGAGGTAATTCTTAAACAAGTTTTGGTTCAACTTTGATTTATTTCAATTTAACCTGTCACACAATGATAATGAATTTTCGGTAACGAAATGAACGTATACCCAAGAACTTCCCAAATTAACAAATTATTATCAGTGTTTCCAGGTCTAATACTAATAGGACTACATATCACTCTGAAAAGAGGAAGTGGTGATAAAGGAGGAACAATTTAAAATGTTTTAGAAATTAGAAAAAAGTTTTCGAAATTGCGAAAGAAAGTATATCGAGCAGAGAGAGAGTAGTAGTATTTAAGCGAATTAGTCATTTGTATTTTTGGGGCTTTACAACTTGATACTTAGAAATGTACTTATTAAAGGAATGAAATTAATGAGATTCAAGAAATGAAGCATATAAATTTATGATTATATGTAAAATAAGATATCAGCAAATATCATAGGCTAAAAAAAATCGAATGACACTTTTTTGGGTGGGTTGGTTGTACTTTGCTCTGTTTTGTTCTGTATTACGTAATCTAAGAACCTTGCTTTGTTTATTCCCACTTGACCGATTTTGAAAAATCCCGCGTAATCTCATATTGCTATCTTTAGACTTTTTGTCGTCTTCTATGCTGTTTGGTTGAATGTGAGATGAAGGATTATTCGCCAGTATGCCGCGTAATCGGAATCTCTTGTCTTATTTATTTATACTCTTATCAATTTCAAAAAATCTTGTATAGTTCAACATGGTTTGTTTTTTTTCTCAAATATATACAAAAAAAAGAAAAATCACATGCACAAACAGCCATTTCGTTTGTTTGTTCGTTTTTTATTGGTAGTATTGCGGAAATTAATTAAAAGTTTATTTCTGTAGAAATGACACTTACAATTCCGAGTAAATGCATTATTCTGTGATTACAGAAATAGTTAAAATCATCTTATAAACAAAGAAGAAAACAACGAAATGTTTATGAAGTGAATTAGACAAAGTGTACAATTAGAAATGGCAAAGAAAATAATTTTATTGTACAAAAGGGACGATTAATAAGCCTTTTCCGTTAGGTTATAAAGCTGTTAACAACATTTAACGATAAAAGAATTCGGTAATAAAGTTTAAATGGTTTATTCATGTTAATAAGCATCAATAATTCATTAAGAGATAGCAAAAATATTATTTACGAAATTGTATACTTTCATTTCGTTAACTTTACACATGTATCGTTAGATATCACTTTGATCTTTCCGACCATAGACAACTTTCTAATCCATTAGGTCCATAAGTTGGATGAACATAGATAAATCGTTTATTAGCGTTTTTATATTATAAATATGTTTGCATATCATGATTAATAGCTATAAATGTTATCTTTTGTAACCTTAACAAATGTAATTTTGTTGATTATATCGAAGAAAAACTAAACTGCAAACTTTACAATTCTTAGTCACAGATAAGTAATATGAAAAGGAATTGATGAATGGTAAGAGGAACTGATAGAGTATCAATTTTCTTCTGGAAAAAATCGAAATTAGTGAATGCTTCACATCAGTTTTACTGACCGGCATAAAGAGACACATATCTATAATGTTCATCCAAAAGTTATGCACAGTTATGCTAATATTGCAAGTGTTATAATGATAGCAATGATGATAAAAAAGATGAAAAGTGGCGCAAGCAGATAAAAGCAACAATTGACCCAATCCCATGTTGAACTGGTCGACTTCCCAATTTCCATCAAACGAACTCCCTCAGCACCAACTTTGTCTCTTCTTCCATTCTTTGTCCTTAAATTTCATTTTAGGATATTCAAACTTTTCATTTCAAAAGGTTGCAATGTGTTAGAAAGAAAAAACAAAGCATTTTTTTTCTAGAATTGCTATTTTTATTATTGTAAATGATGAAACAAACTGCTACATCAACGGGAAAATTATTATTTTCGGAAAGTATTGTAAATGGAAGATGATGATATAAGTAAAAAGTGGAATTGGAATCAATGAATTAATTAATTAAAACTAATCGGCAATCTATCAATAAACACATATCTATGCATTGACAGTGTGCAAAACTTTACAAAATGTTCGTGCAATAATTTTTTTCTCGTAGCAACGTCAACCGTTAAATATTATAGCTGCAAAAGTTAATGTATTTTATAAACTGATCAGTAAATTTCATCTTATTAGGTCATCTGGACGCTTAACTAGTTTTTATGGAAATTTAAACTTGTTAAATTTCTGCTGAAATCAATTTCTGGAAATCAAGCTTCTTCAATTTCAATTTCAAACTACGCATTGAAATCCCCCACGCTTCGAAATTTATAACCCCAACTAGCATTTGTCAAGAATCTAGAATAATTCCTCCACTGTAAACTTCATGAATTCTACCTCTATAAATCCTTTTATTCTAAAGCGAGATCAAACTATTTTGAAAGATATATGAAACAAATTAAAGATCCGTCAAAAACTGATCTCGAATTCTGTTTGGTCTGCGGTGTTTTTGTTAGAATTTTTTGAAAACGAACTCCCTTTCAATAACTGCAGCTGATAAAGCCAGTTTTTATACAACTATTGTGTCAAAGTTGTCAAATGTTGTTAAGTAAGGTTTAGGATTAGGATTCCGGTATCATAGGAGTAGGGCAGTTAAATCATACTTTGGCTTCTACTCTGTTAGTAGTACCACACACCAATTTGTTATTATCAAACATTTTCGCGATGAATATATATTCCTCTAACTTGTTATTTTGATGAAAGAGAAAATTAATCATAAATAAGCACCACAGTCCAAGCTATATCGAACTGTTTATTCAACTATTGAAATCAATGGTGTTAGTTTTTGAGTTTTCGATAAAATCACTTCTAGCACTTGGTGGATAGGGTTTCAGACAGCTAGAATCCTTGGGAAATAATTTTCGAGGTACTGTTTCATATTTCGTGCTTAATTAATTCATTAGCTGACTGGCAAGACCGTTGATTTAATTAAAAAAGGAATTAATTTTGTCTAGTTCGAATTTGAAAATTTGAAATGTTAGAAAAAAGTCAGAGAACGAATAGAAGCATGAAAAGTACAACAGCGGCGGCAATAGCACAAATAATTGGGCAAAAAACGAAACAGAGTAACTTCAAAAGTTTCATTTTACGCTCAGCCCAACAATCCTTTCTACGATTTACGACTGCTACTGCTATGCTGAAAATTTGTACATTGACCGTTAATAAAATTATTCTTGAGATATTCAAAATCTTAAGTTTTCAATTTTTGAATAAATTATTCTTGTAATCTTCAAATTTGAATTAAAAATTTGAATCAATGAGATTCGATTCGTGTACGTGGGAATATACAAACACAAAACTTATATGAAAACATATTTCAGCGATAATTCATAGAATTTAATTAAATTAATAAAATCCAAACTAACTTTTATTAGTTTATCATTTACTAAAATATATATGTTATGAGTCATTTAGCAATGTATTATATTTGTACAAGTATCTTTTATTTCTTTACGTGAAAAAAAAAGTTAACCAGGGGTCAGTTTTGTATGGATGTGGTGTAAGGCCTTCTTCGAGACTCAGTTGCTTAACATCAAGCAATTCATCACGTTCATTAGCACGGTAACCAGACTTCATTCCAATCCCAGCTTTTTCTGTATCTATAATTCATTTTTCTTTTTACTTGCATGGAAAAGAATGCATTGAAGTTACACAAAAAAGATTCATCATTTTCTTTGTTTTGTAAATATAATGCAATGATATTTTTTCAATTTTAAAGGAAACAGAACTAATAATATCATCACTAAAGAGGAAATATTTCGTGACAGTTTTTTCATGATGCATCGCAGAGAAATTTTTTTCTGTTGGATGTAATTGAATTTCAAAAATCATATCACTTCAGTGTCAACTAAACCACTAATTGCCATCAATCCCATGATTGCCCCGGATTCTTTTTGCACCAAATTGTTTTGAATTTCAAACTTTCCAATACTCCATTTAATGATTTTCGCAAAGACTTGTCATTTTGATTTCAAGTAACTTGTATTACTATATAAGTAATACTAAATAAAGCTTATGGGTAAGATTTTTTATTTATTTGATAACAATCATAATAAACTAGAAGAACCTTCTAACTGTTGCACGGATTATGACTACTTCGTAGAATTTTACAACTGCCAGCTATCGTTTGAGTTTCAATTTGTCAAGTCATATATTGTGACGGATTGAAAAATTTAAGCATTTCTGTAGTAATAGGTAAGGAAAACAATGAAAATTTTAATTGACGCCAGGATTAATTGATATTAGACAGGTTAAAAACCTTGTAATTTTATAAAATAGTGAAAAAAGAAAATGACAGGAAAAGATTACGAAGTTTTTGCCGTGAAACTGTTGCTGTTGTTGGACTTTCCTCGGATAAATGAATGGTTCCATCCTGGGGTTGCTCCTCTATCTCATCGTCATGTACCAATCGTCCATAACTTCTTAATGGCTACAAACATTGTATTTTCCAATGATTTAACTCGGATTTTATTATAATGATTAATTAAATCAATTTCACACGACTATGTTTATTATACCTTAGATTATTGATATCCACTGCAGCAGATCATACTCGATGATACTAAGATACCGGATCCTGATAAGTTCTCGGTAAGTGACTTCATAATTTCAAATAAAATATTCTTTAATGTAAAGCTGATTTTTATAAAAAATGAACTATAATCTATAATTTGAAGTAACCAACCGACTGTAAGCTTTGACCAGAATTAGTTTCCAACGCTCGTGGTTGCTCAAAGCTATTGTCTACCTGTTCCTGTGCGGAACTTGTAGAAGGACATCGTTTCTTCTTGCTCGTCAATAATCGTAGCAGAATCGGTGATTTAGATCTTTTCATTTCCGGTGTTTTCACATAATTTCTATACTCTTGATCGTTCAATCGTTGACAAGCTCTGTTTTCAGTGACATTTCTTGTGCTTAGAATGCCATCTTCCAATCTTAAATGTGGAAATTTCTCGATGAAACGGTCGGTGACAGACAATCGTAAAAATTCCATTCCATTCCATAAAAGCTATGAAGCTGATATGCAACCGTTATTAATTGCTCATAATAGGCAAAATATAAGCAGAAAAATAAATGAAACTTGAAAGAAAAAGGAAAGCCTAAAAACCTCTGGATTATTTGTTCCGTTTGCCTGATTTGCCGTTTTGGTGACTGTTGCTGTTGCGGTGACACACCACAACTTTTGGAATGTTCCGATCCACTGGATGTACGTCTAGCAATTTGCCGTTGAACTGCCGATTTTGAATATTGAGAATGCGCCTAGAAATTGTTTAATTTTTAGGTGCATTCTTCCTACAATTTCTATTCTCTTCCACACAAAAACTGGAACAGTTTTTCAGTCCCATTTCATTACGGAAAATCGGAAATTAAAACTGAAATACACCTATGTGTCCGACATCTGTTCTGTCACCAACAACATTTTCCAGTTTTGTTATCAATGAGATGGGTATGTCACAGAACGTTAAAATGCATAAAAGATTAGTTCAAGAAAGGATTTCATATTTATGGAATCGTAGGATTGTTTATGTAATTCCAGTAAATCTTGAATGTGAAAAACTTCATGCTTTTCCAGTGCTTGAACTGATCATCGAAGTTACCCTTTGCTGTGATTCCATGTCGATCACTGTTGACAGTCGTTTTTCAATTCTTGCTTTTCTCGCTTCGTCATCATCTGTAGGTTGATGGAGAACAGCCAGCGCTTCAGTGCTGTATTCCGGTGGTGGAGTACTCCTCATGTGCACATATGCTAATGCATTTCCATCTGATGACAACTGTCCTTTCTTTATACCTCGATTTTCTAGTGGAACATCATTGATCAGTGTCTCATGCGCTTTATGTACTTGTATCACTGCAAAATGAAGCCAATGAATCTCTCGATATTTCAGCATAATAAGAAAAAACAAAAATAAATTTCGAATAGCTTTTTATTAATCTATATTTCTAAATACATCATCATATATAATCAAATCAACGTGTAGATTAAACAAAATGACTTGCAATTTGTCATTGGTAGTTTATTCTGGAAAGCCGACTTACGACCAATTCTACCACTAGCAGTTGTAAATGGATATACTAGATAGATTATCCTAGTAATCTTTGCAAAGTTTAGCAAAAACTCTCATTTGTTGTGTTTTTATCATACAAATTTCTTGCATAATTTTTTGATCAATCGACAAGGAAAATAAAATTAACAAATATATCCACAGAAAAATAGATTGAAATTTCAGATTAAAGGATGAAAAATCCAATACTCGTGTCAAAATTCTGAATATTGGCATATTCCCCAGCTGATAGCTTTCCGTCTTTTTGTAACTTCATCACGTATTCTCTATGTGTCATCGTTCCCGGATCATAGACATATCGTTTAATTATAGGTGTTTCCGATGAATTCCAATCTTTTAGAGTTGCTGGTGCTTTCAGAATTGTTGATTTTTGACCGATCAGTTTGATAGGGATAATCCGCTCATATGGAACACTTCTACAATAAATTCTCTTTAGGAATTTTTTGGATATCTCACTTACTGCTTCTTCCATCGATCAAATAATAATATGAGCTTTTCGCACTGGCTATTTTATTAAGTTCAAAATAGATATGAGAAAATTTCAGAACCATTTAAGCCTGCGCTGCCAAGAATTACTTAAATGTCAGTAAGGATCAGACAAAAAAGTTGTAAAGACAAATGGCTATCACAAAGATAATTTGATTTTCTTCCTTCAAACGTTCATATCGTATCATAATTTTTCCTTCATCCTTAATTCAAAGGTATCCGTCAACTGTCGTTAATGAATGTAGAAAGTGAACATGCTTTGCAGTATATCGAGAATTGTCATGAAAACGAGAGAAATTAACTAACAGCAGCTTTTGAACAGAACGATTGATACTGTGATAGGTTGGCACGCAATTGTTCAGAAAAAACGACGGTTGGGAAAAACAAAAAAGTTCAAATCCCTTTCATTTCAATCTCAAGTTTAATCGGAAAAATTTCAAAATGTGAAATGTCAAGTTTTGTTTACCACTAAAGACAAATAAGTTGTAAACAAAAATGAATGTTTCATATTTATATTTAAAAAAAGTAATCTGTGTTAAAATGAATCGAATAACAAATGAAAATAACCAAATTTGCATACCTTGTAGACGGTTGTGTAAAAGTTGATGTGTGCTGCGGCATATCGTCATCGATGAATTCGATATTCTCGTCTGGAATAATTTGTCGTGGATTCAAACGCCTAACTTGTTCAAAGAAGCGATCTAATTCGCCCATTGATAAATCCCAACTGAGCCTGGCTTTCTGCTTTTCCATTTCATCATCTTGTTTCTTTCCTGTAATTGTTTTGATAATAACAATCAATAATAATAGTTATTTTAATGCAAATTACACATTTTATTGATTTCTTTTTCATCCCAAAATTATAACAAATTTTTTTCTTTGTTCTAAAATTACAGGAAAACAATGAATTGAACATATGAAGAATTATTTGTTTAAAAAGAGCAAATAAATGGTGAAAAATTGTGAACTGATAGGAAAAATATTTATCAAGAAAGTACTGATAAGGATTGCTTTTGGAGTGAAAGAATGTGATAAACATAAGAGCACCAATATCTCATCAACAATTCCTTCGTTTTATAATTAAAAAACAAAAGGAAAAAAAAACCAAAAAGATTGTTTTAAACTTTTAAACGTTGAAAAAAATTTGCACAAGTTGATATTTAACAAAAAACTCTGCTTGATACCCTCATGCTTGGCTTGATACCCTCATGCATGATAGCATTCCAAAAATCATTATAAGCTATTTTTGCATGCTTACCGTTTATTGTATGTGTTATCAGCAAACTATTATTTAGTGGCATTAAGCTTTAACTAATATTTGAATAGATAGCACAATATTTGTTGTAAAATACTAAAAATCTCTTCCTAACCATCCATAAAATAAAAAACTACGCCAGTAAGTGAGCATACGACATGCTTATTGATGTGTCATCTGAATGTTTGAAATATGAGACTAAAAATTGGTCTGAAGTATTCAAATAGAAAAAAATTCATTGAATCATGTTACAATAGCATTTGTCCGTTTTGATCATTTACGGCTGATTACAGTGTCAATTGTTTGCGATAACTCTGTATGTGTTTGTATGTGCGCGCGCAGTGAACCAGTTTCATTGGCGGGAAAAGGTATCAAAATTTTGCTTTAACAAATTTCAGAAATTTACATATTAAACAAATTTTGAAAGGAAAATTTAGTTCCTTATAATTTTTTAAAAAAATTTGCTTTTTCTGGAAATTTATTGTCAACCGAACCTTACAATTCATTTCAGGTCAAATTTTTCTCTTAATTTCCCTTCTTTCTCTCCATTATTCTTACTTTCGCAATATCATAAGAAGATTTAGATTTAAAAATGCAATCCATTTGAATGTAATGATTGAACCATCCTCCTCTCTCCCATATCATTCTTTTCCCTTTGTTTTTTTCTCTTACATACCAAATATACCTATCACATCGATGATATTTTCTTTAGTGATTAATGAAAATTCACTATGTGAAAGTTTTCTAATTTTACTTTCTCAGTTTGTAAATATTTCCCAACGAACGGCGCAAATGAAGCATGAAGAGACTATTTACAAAAGTAAATAGACTGTTCAGCCTTTCTATTTTCATTTTTTGATTTCTTCCTTGCTTATAGCCAAGAGAGCTAGACAGATATTTAAGGATGAAGTCATTTGGAAAAGTGTCAAAAATAATGGAACCAGTTAAATAGAAGATCATAAGTCATCTTAAAAGATTGAAAGCGATTATTAAAAGATATGGAAGAGAAGGTGAGATTAAATCAAGACAGAATTTCAGTTTAAATTCGATATTCACAAGTCTATTAAATGAAATAATTTACAAAAATTAAAAGAGCAAGAAAAAAGACAATGAACGATTTTAATCTTTCCTAAATTAATTAAAATAATATTTACCGGTGTAGTTCGTTATAAAATATATTAGCATATGTGCATCAAATACAGGTATAAAACATCTTACCAATGAGTAATGTAAGCATGCTATTATTATTACTCTATTTTTCAATTGGACTTTAAAAATAAATCGGTGGAAAATCTTCGAATGAACTGAAACGACTGATGCAATTGATAAAGTATGTTGATTATCAGTTGACTGTATCAACCACTAAAAAATATTTTGTTGCATAGGAAAGAAATAGCGAAGTTGTTGTCATATACTTCTCCATGCATTACAACTAATCTGATGTTGAAAGGTAAACATACAGATAGGCGACATTGTTTACACAGAATGTGATGATATCAACATGATGTAATAGCTGAGAAAATATGACGAAAGAAGAAGAAAGTTAGTTCAAACAGTTGAAAACCACTTTGATAGTGAGAATCATTGTCTTTAACACATTGCAACAGTGTAAGATTCTTGAAAGGCTTATGATAATTAAGTGCGAAAAACAGAAAGCGAGAAGTTTGCCACTAATTAGAAGTGAAATGAGTAGAACGGAAATTTTATCATAACATAGAATTTTTTTAAAAAAGAAAGGATTAGAAATTAAGAAAATTTTCGAATCTTTTGGTATTGGTATTGTTTCTGAATGACTGATGAAGTGAATGGTTAAATTAATCTGATTCTTTATGGTTTCAAATGGTTAAGATATTTGACATAACGTCATTATTAGTACCAAAAATAATTGTAATATCCCTTCATTACCTGAAGAAAATAGATGTGAAATCAGGAGTTTGTTTCTTTAAATCTAAATAAGCTCAAAGAAAAGGGAACTTATGAACGGTAATTTAATAATTCCTGAATCTTTCCTATAAACATATATGTTTTTGAAAACTTCTTACATAAAATGAAAACATTGAGAAAATAGCTGGGTTTTTGATATTTGTTACTTTTTCTTGGATTAAATTAAATAGTTCATTTTTTGATAACACGAATTAAACTATATTAACATTGATAATATCAATTAGATTTGATAATATTATATAATAAAGATGAAAGTAAAAAAAGAAATTTATCAAACCTTTAGTTTGTAGGAAATGATCATTGAAGAAATAGTATTTGCTGTAATTCAAATTGAGATCACGTAACACTAGCTTGATCGATGATGATAGGATAGGTTTCTCATCGTTTGATGAAAAGAGTATTATTGTACTCGGTAACATATAAGATGGAAACAAATTGATCGTCTAAAGCAAAATTAATTTAAAAGTTTAGGTAAAAGTCGGCTAATTGAATGATTAGTTAAATTATTTATCGGCAATTCGGTAGGTGAAATTCCATGACTCACTTCCGATATTACTTTTTCATCCTTACTGATTGATGTCTGGTCAAATTTTAAAACAAGACATAGTGCACTAATATGGATATGTTGACTTTCAATTAGGAAGTCATGAATTGCACAGGCAGTTCCTTCTCTTGCTGGTATTTCGCTGAAAAATAATAGAAAAATTACGTTATGGTACAAGAATTATTACGTCATGATGGTTTAATTAAAATAGGGAAGAATTACATTATGATGGAAGGATTAAAATTGAGAAGAATATTATATTATGGTATTAGAATTAAACATGTTCATAGATCATTGTAAAAGTAAATAGGATTTCATCAGATGCTGCTCAGGACAACTTCCTGAGAAAATACATTGTTTCTTCAAAAACTGCACAATGTTTTTGCAGGAAACTTTTGCATATAAAAAATGAAAACAGTAAAAATGAATACAGAGTTGGTAGCATTTATTTGTAAATAGGATGGGACAGTATATAATCATCATTATAGATGCTTAATCGATCATCAATGGTATAGCTGTTGCATTGAACACATATGTCACTTATAAAAAGGTGTATTTCCAGTTACGGTCAATTTCTGCTTATTAAAAGTTATTAGTGTATAAACCTGTTGCTAGTAATTTCCGGTGTATCGATTATTACTGGTCGAAATGGCATAGCTGTTGCATTGAACACATATTTGGTGATCGATTTTATCGGTGTACTACCTCGGTCGAATATCTAAAACTATTGGAATAATAGTAATCCCGTATAATTTTTTCTTTTCATTCTTAATAATCGGAATGACGCATTCCAAGGTTATCGAAATTATTCCGAAATTACTGATTCTACTACCGTAATCAATTCATTCAGACATAAAGTTTAAACACAGAGATTAAATTACTTTGGGTCTGACTATTAAAACATCGCATTGACTGATTAAATAGAATAAGGTGTAAAGTTTGACATTTGTGCTGGAAAATTTTGTTTTCCTTATTAAGGAATTTCACAAGATATGGGATAAACAGCATAAATATTTTTAGTACTAAATAAGCTGTCAAGAAAAAAATATCAAATATTTCCCTGCGAAGGAAAAACTTACTTCATTAGCGATTTTATACCGAGTACCATCGAATTTAGCACCATAAAAATAATTACACATGCAATCAATTAGATTGGATTTATTACTTCCAGTTGGTCCAATTAATAAAATAATACGATCAGTGCGTTTAATGTTATCTGCAAGTAAATTTGGATGGTAATTGAACAATAGTTTTAATCAAAATTCCTAGAGGATCAAGTGATAGTAAGAGCAAATTTAGACATTTTTCTTCCCTGAATTATCTCTTCCAGCTATGAAAAATTGGTTTAAACCAAAATTTTTGTTTGGCTTCACAATTATTGTATACGAGAAAACAAGACGATGGAAGTATTTCATTCAACTCTAAACACATTATAAAATTGTATATTAAAAATTCATTTATAAATTTAAGTTATAAATTTTGTCGTTACTTAAGGAAATATTTGCTACCTTTTGATGAGCCAGCAAAAACAGTGCGCACATTGCCTACATCGAATTCTTCACCGGCAAATTTGCTTACCGTTTGCTGTACCAAAATTTCTGCACTAATCCCTACCATTGTTCGAGCTTCTGAAAGCAGCATTATAGAATAACTGATTAATTTCTACTTACCAGTTAAGATATCGATTGAAATAGAGAGAAAGGTAAGTTAGCAATTCAGATGAATCTATCTTTATCATGCTCTCCATTGTCTCACGCACTATTGAACCATCCTACTTTTTGTGCTGAGTAGCATTTTTTCTAATCATACATGAACAAAGTGGAAGTAATCAAGGATGAATGAACATAAATTGTCTCTTATCAATATTACTTATAACGTGAAAACTAACCTGTTATCATAATAG